GATCTACGTCTTGGTTAAGCTTGTATCGTTAAGTCGGCGTGATGCGCTCACCATTTGGCATTTTTAAAGGAAACAAAATAAACTTAATCGAGTTAACCAACATTTAAACAGACTGAATTATTTCCATATTCGCTTCACAAAGCTCGATCTAAGGGAACCGCATAGCTGCTATCGAGTGGATCTCAACAAGCTTTACGTGGGTGCGCTCTAGGGGGACCATTTTGGATCAATTTTTTGTCGTTAAGTAGCTCGTTTATTCCATAAGAAGTCTAAGTCTAGTCAGTAAAGTTTGTACTCTGTTCAACTTCTTAAGGTCTCTACATTCGCTTGCCATTTTATTATTATTTTTTTTTTTTCAGAGATCGTGACCGCAACGCGTGTGTGTTTTTTAGACAATGTTTTCTCCAATTAGGGTTTTTTATTAATAAACTCAACTTTTTGTTATCTTATTAGTGATACATTTTATTGTAGCAAAACTAATTGCTCTTTTGGGTTAAAATAATTGAAGAGTATCTATGAGCTTGGCTTTGAAACAGAATTACGAAATAATTTTTCTGCTAGAGCTGTCCGTGGATGGTAGCATGGCTCGTTTCTCCCAATAAAGTACTCTATATACTCATTAGTTGTAGTTTATAGATTTTTCAATCTGAAAACAACGACAACATAGATTCTTCAAGACAAACATACCCATTATTATTATTTATTTTTATTACGAGAAATTCTGTACTGCTCATCACCAGCGTTTTCTGTACCGCTCTTCACCAGCATCAAACGACGTTTTAAATTCTCAGTGGTAATCTTCCAAGAAAATGATAATAAAACATCACAGTTAAATTGATTATTAGCGTTTAATTCAGAGTATTTATGCTGAATGTTCATGCAGCTTGCGATTGCACTCGCAATCACCAACTCGATCGCTGCGAGGCGAAATCCCTATCAGGCTTCCGTATTAATATTGGTATTCAATTTGCTGACAGAATAATAAAGACGCATTGTTGGCAAGTGTCATCAAGTGTATTTTAGTTACTATTTTCATCGGCAATTCATAGTTGATGACCGTTACTTCAAAGTGGCTTGGTGCCTCCTTAAATGATTTCTTTCAAATTACGTTCCGATATTTGATTAGAACACTGATGCTTGTACAAATTTTCAGTAACAGCAAAAATGTCCGTTTGGCAGATTTGATAAATTTATCGGAACATAGAGTCCTACTCCACAAATATGAGACCCGTTTTGCGTGTGGTAAAGGGCGATTGTTTAGGCAGGGATACCTATTATTTAAACATATTCTCCTAGTCTTAACTCTTGTTTTTTTTTCAATAACATTACCTCGTAGTTGCTTTTTATTTATACACATTCTCCTAGTCTTAACTCTTCTTTTTTTTCAATGACATTACCTCGAAGTTGTTTTTTATTTATACACATTCTCATAGTCTTAACTCTTATTTTTTTCAATGACATTAGCTCGTGGGTGCTTATTGACTGGAATTGACACTTTACTCAGTCAACTCAACCAATCTCACTCGTAAAATTAATTTGTTTAGTAATTTTGTTTACTGTACTTCAAGTAGGTGTTTCAGTTGCCGAAAAGTCTTTGGTCCGCTCGCTCGACCTCCACTCAGCGTCTTTCGAACGGCCGATGCCGAGACCCGGATGGATTTAGTGAAGCACCATAATAAATCATCAATAAATCAATTATTATTATTTATTCATTAATGAATGGTGTCGTTATTTATCATCTTGGATACGTTCACTGACAAAACTTGGCAGGAGAAAATACCATGAATTAACGCAAAGTCGATAGGATGAATTTAATTTTCAAGTTACCCAAATAAATTGCATGGGTTTGAACCCGATTGGACTTTGCGTCAGCAAAAATTCGGGTCTGTCTTCATCGGATGGTTATCGTTATTTATTGTTAAGCATGGGCACTTTTGCAGCCACCAAATTACTAAATATATTGAAATATTATGTAAATTCCCTGATATTTAGTAACATAGTTAAACCAAGGTTACTAAACTTTCTCTTATGACTCGACCCCCAACAAAATTTTCATCTCACCTCAGGTATTCTATAGAAATCGCGCTACGAACGAATCCAGATAACTAATTTAAATTGCTGTACTACGAAAAAAGCACACCAACGAATAAGAGCAACGGGATACGAGCGTCCCCTTGTATAGACAGCTTATTTGAACCTATTTTGAACCCCATTTGAACCCCATTTCGCAAGTGTCCACGCCCCTGACGTCGCCGCGCTATGTGTAGGCAGTTTCGTAACCGCCTCCTGGGTCTAAAATTTTATTGCTTACCCTAGCCTGGGCTCAGTCGTCTTCAGCGGATTGTTTGACTGCAAACAGCAGCCTAAAATGTACATTAGCTCTCCAATAAACTATTAATTAGACAAAGGCTTTTATTTCCCTTATTTCCAAAGAGAAGCAAAATCCACTTTTCAGTTTCGAAACCTGTATTGCCACCGGGCAATGATTCTCCAGCGCGTAGCATCACTATTAATTCTTTAACCAGTGATTGCACACACTAATTTTTTTAGGCTTACGCTCGTCGCAGCTATTAAGATTTTTATTATTATTTATAATTATTATTCATCAATATTGAAATGATTGCTCGAAGGCCGAGAAATATCTTCACGACCAAAAAATATCTCATAACTACTGGATTCATTTAATTGGAAATTTGTACACAAATCGCTGGTGCTCCAGAAGGCCTCGCGCATGTGGTTAATTTTTATTATTGTCAAGGTTGATTCAATGAATACGATTGCAATACAGTTGATTTTATGGTGCAGTGACCTAATTTGGCATCTTATCATATTTATTATTGTTCCCGACATCACTTGCTTTGTTAACGCTCCTAACATGGATGTTACCCGAATTGGTCCATTGTTAGTTTCGAAACTTTTTCTCTTTGCCGATAGGAAAATATATTGTTCGTGACTGTGGTTGTTGGTAGAAGCCGGTATCCTGAGAGACTGTTGTGGTTAATCGAAGAAATGAGAACGCTGCATAGGCCGGCTTTATTTTTCTTTGTAATACTTAGAATAGAATAGAAGTGTCGGCACTGAAGAAATAGGCCCATGGCCTATTAGTAACATACTTCTTATTAATAACATAGTAAATACTTCTACTGTTCTACTTCATTCACAAGTTTGACCACTTTACGAGATGTTCAATGAATAATAGTTGTACATGAAAAAAATGTTATTTTTCATTGAAAATGAGAACGCTGCATAGATCAGCTGTATATTTCTTTTTGATACTTCTACTTCGTTCACAAGTTAGACCACTTTACGAGGTGCTCGATGAATAATAGTTGTTATTTTTTATTGAAATAAATTATCACATGAGCCAGTAAAACATTATAACGTGTGCGCGATGTCGAAGACATAAAAAATTCCAAAAAATAAATGAAAGCAGAATGCAGCAATGACTTTGTATGCGGTATTTAACCGAAATCTTTTCGATTTTTATGAGGATATTTCTTAGCCACATACAGTGATAGTAAAATCCATGGTTGAGCCATGGGTTGTCTTATCCATGGTTGAACTATATTCTTCTAATTCAAATTAAATCGCTAATCAAATGAATCAGATCTTAAATCGCTAATCAAATGAATCAGGTCTTAAATGGCTAATCAAATTAATCAGATCTTATTCATCCCATAGGAAAACCGGCCGCGGAAGCATCCGATGGGTGGGCGACGTAGGAAAATTCAAATTTGTTAACAGTTTTCGATACAAATCACTTATTTTAAATTATTCCAATTGGAAGTGTCGTTTCTGGTGGATTATAGTTGTTTGTATGTTCGAAGGGCGGTCAATTTTGGTGGTGTTGTAAAAAAAGGAATTAAAGTCAGAATAGCATTAATTTTCATGCAACAAACACGGCCTTCGAATATTTTTAATGTTTGGAATGTTAGAGCAATGTTAATGACTTGAATTTGCGCGAATTCAAGTTTATAATATCAAATATTAGTTAACCTAATAGAACAAAAAAATTTTAGTCATTAAAATATAACGATAATTGACTACGTGCGTAAAAATATATCAGATATACATATATATTCGTGGTGTGCTCAACTATTTTTTTATCTTTATTTTTTTTGCGCGCACAACTAGCCAAGAACTTTTAATCATGTCATAGCTGAAATAATCAATGACACAAGTATCTGTTTGGGTACAATTAAAACCTTAATTTGATCATTGACAACAGTTTCTCTGCCTTACTTGGCCAACGTCCTTCAGAGTTATGTGATGAAGACATGACCTTGGATGACCTTGGACGACATCTATGGCAGTATTGCCAGATTTAGGAATAAAATCTTTGGTTGTTTACAGGATGCGAAGAGTCCTATGAACCATGGCTAAGTTGAGAATTATTTTAAACCAAGAAATTCGTTTCTTATTTATCTCACTACTTCGTTGTCTTCCTTTAAAGGAGCAAGGTTCCCTCCCTTTTAAGCAAAATTTTGATTCAGGTTTAGGGGATTGTTGACTTCAGGTGGATGTTAGAAGTAAATGGGAGTAGGTACGAGTCATTTTTATGAACTGAAGTATATACAAGTCATATTCATGGACTTCATGTAAACAACAAATATTTGGTTTACAATTAAAAAGGATACCTACCGCGGAGAGCATCATTGGTTGTGCAGAAAAATGCATATGAGCAGACTTTTCTTAAATTCAATAAACCGAGTAAAATGGAACCATGCTGTGTACAAAAGAATTACTACTAAGTTAAGTGTTAGCGAGAAGTAAGGCACAGAGCCAAAAAACTGAGGTCAGATGACCTTGGGATGTTCAGATGTTTGTGTTTTGGGAATTCAACTTATGGGTTTAAATAATGATCAAATAAATACATCCTCACATGTTCGTTAGCTTGCTTATGCTAAAATTGGATTTAGCTAAGTAAACAACAGAGAAGAAATGCATGAGAGAAGTCAGCTGTGATGAAATACCTTATGCCTTTGTAAAATGCAGACGATTGACGATTCGCCACCGGTCAGTGTTGCTCGAAGTAGTGGCGTGTGAGGTTACGAGTCGTTCAGCTGTTCGTTGTACCTAGCTCCTGTTCGGTTAATGGAAGGTGGCTGCTGAGTGTTGATCATCGTTCTAACTTGTGAGTCGATAAGTATAAATTGATTTAGTGTTGTAATTACAACTTTGGTTATAGACTATAGTAGATATCACGTGATTGACGCCGGCTTAAATTACAACCTTGACGATAGGCCTTTGCTCTTCGATTATCCGAGATGCAATGAATAGGTATTAGGTAATGATTTGATTCCTTTACAAACAATATTGAATATAATATTATATAGGCTAGTAATGCAAAAAATGCATCTGCCAGCATATGGTGTATTGGTTGCTAAACCGTCCACACTAATAACTTCAGCTTTATTTGTAATGATTTATTCACTTGAATCTGAATGATAGCTATGAATAGGTAAATAATTTTGCTGACAAATATTTAAATATGATATATTGATTAAACTTAATTTTCAGACTAGCCTACTGCTAATTACTTTAGCCAGGGGGGCTGGGCACTGGGCAGTGCAAAAGGTTACATAAATTGAACTCTTAATTCTAAAATCAGTGAAATGTTATGACTCTAAAGTCTTGGGTGAGTTTTGAATTTGGACATTTACACATTTTAAGTAGGTACCTTGATTGAATTTAAAATTATATTTATGGGATCCATGATACTTTGCTGGTATAGCCTAGTATAGACTATAGTGACTCATTCTCATTGGACTTGTCAGAAAGAAGTCTGAAGAAATCTTTGCTTAATGTTTTGCCTCTATGTAAAGACTGTTTGTAGTTTGTACAGTTCATCAACTATATCAATCTTGGATATATAATAATTTTCCTAGGCTAATAGACACCTAATGTAGGCTTAAAAATGACAGTGATCTTACAATAATTGTGGCTTTAAAACTTGACAATATCCATGTTTGTGTCCAAATGGAGATGTTCATACATATCGAATTATTCTTTTTTAGTACGGTAGTTCATTGATACACTGATACAGCATATATTGATTTAACCTAGGAACAGGCATGGAATATATCTACGGTTCTAGCCGCAACTGGAGCTTTCCTACCATTTTCAGAACCATTTCAGATTCTGACATTTTTAGATTTCTGCTATTTGTATCATCTCCTGTCTTATTGTTAATAAAACTACAAGATCATGCCATAAAATTTCAAATGTATTGGAAATTAGTCACATTGCAGCCAACAGATTTCATTTGTACATGTTAAAATTCTGATCCAGCCTAGGAGCAGGTTTTAATTTAACATGTTATGCATGGTTGAGAAGGCACAGTCTAGGCTGAGAGCCCAATGTCCAGGCTAAGAGGCCAGGGTCCAGACTGAGAGGCCAGAGACCAGGTTGAGAGGCCACGGTTTAGGTTGAGAGGCCACGGTTTAGGTTGAGAGCTCACAGTCTAGGTTGAGAGGCCAAAGTCTAGGTTGAGAGGCCAAAGTCTAGGTTGAGAGGCCAAAGTCTAGGTTGAGAGGCCAAAGTCTAAGTTGAGAGGCCAAAGTCTAGGTTGAGAGGCCAAAGTCTAGGTTGAGAGGCCAAAGTCTAGGTTGAGAGGCCAAAGTCTAGGTTGAGAGGCCAAAGTCTAGGTTGAGAGGCCAGAAAAAAATCGGTTTTCCGATGCCGACCGCCAAAAATGGATTTCAGATTCATAATCTACACCCCAAAAAACATATAATTAAAAAAAAAAAACACCCTTTTTTTTGGATGTAGTTAATCTGCAATAATACCATTGTACCTTTAAAACTTGACAATATCCATGTTTGTGTCCAAATGGAGATGTTCATATCGAATTATTCTTTTTTAGTAGTTCATTGATACAGCATATATTGATTTAATTTTAACCTAGCTACCTAGGCACTGGCATGGAATATATCTACGGTTCTAGCCGCAACTGGAGCTTTCCTACCATTTTCAGAACCATTTCAGATTCTGCCATTTTTACATTTCTGCTATTTGTGTCATCTCCTATCTTATTGTTAATTAAACTACAAGATCATGCTAAGAGATTCCAAATGTATTGGAAATTAGTCACTTTGCAGCCAGCAGATATCATTTGTACATGGTAAAATTCTGACCCAGCCTAGGAGCAGGTTTCAATTTAACATGTTATGTATGGAATAAATAGGAAGTACTTATTTTTGTTTCAATCAAAACACCAACTTAATATTTTGTAACTAAACTTTTTAATCACTAATTTCTACTTCTGTCTCTTGAAAATTGCCAAAAGACCATTAATTTTATTGTCCCTGACCAAGCTTTCATGTAAATGCTGACATTCAATAGAGGTTGATGTTATTAATGGAACATGGGTCTGATGATTGTGATTAGCAAAGTCAGGATACTGAAGCCTCAAACACAGACCAGGGGCCAGGGTGGGTTGTTTTGGAAGAAGAGCTGAAGTAACCATGTGTGGTCACTCAAAAGATACACCGAGTTAGTGGTCATTGAGTTGATAAGCCTCATTGTAAACCATGTTACAGAGAGTGCCACAAAGCTATGTTCATAGAGCATTTGGATAGCAATGCTAGGTCATGATTACTTTCTGCCAATGGTTCTGCTTTTTTCTAGGATTTTTACACTACATCTTCTGACAAAACTATTGAAATTCTTCCTCTGAGTTTCATGAAGATCTAGCAGGTTAACTTGGCTTATGTCAGAAAGTTCTGTGCAGAGTTGAACATCAACCCTTTAATGACTGCCTTTTTAAAATGAATTTAAAAAATTTTCCCTATAATTTCTTGTTAAAGTCACTTAGTAGGTTAAAGATTAGTATTTTAAATTGAAAGTTGTATATAAAAATAAATATGTAAGGTGACAATTCAGTTCACTTGGTCTTGCAAGATCACAACATCGAAGGCAATCATATTATCCATTTAGTCTTTTGAGTGCAAAACATGGATGATATTATGTGGCTAGCAAAGTTCATAATTGTTTTATTCATTATTTCTGCTAGAAAAAACAATAAGTTCAATGAATATGCAAGAAACCCCAGTACCTATTTTGGCAAAAAGTCTCGTTCAAAGTTAAGTCTGGCAAAGCAATTTCGTGTTTTCCCAACATACTTCAGCCTTGTGTAGTTGTGTTCAAGGACAGGGCCTTCAATGTATAAGTCTTGAAAGATTCTTTAAATCATAAACTGACTCCTTCAACTTCACGAGGTTCCTTGTTCAGTACTTGGTCCAGTAACCATGGGGGATTGTTCAAGCAGTGCCTACCTGCTCTTCCACTGATCAAAAGGGAAGGCAGATATCACCAATCTGTTTTTTTTTGACAAGATTATCCATGCAGACATTGGTTTAGGAAGCTCAGTGGATTTTAGGTTGGCCTTATTGAGATGCCAGTGCCGGGTTTATGACAATGGATTAAAATATTGGTACTGGCCACATTGGGAGGCCAATATCCAGGCTGAGAGGCCAGGGTCCAGGCTGAGAGGCCAATATCCAGGCTGAGAGGCCAGGGTCCAAGCTGAAAGGCCAGAGACCAGGTTGAGAGGCCACGATCTAGATCGAGAGGGCACAGTCTAGGTTGAGAGGCCAAAGTCTAGGTTGAGAGGCCAAAGTCTAGGTTGAGAGGCCAAAGTCTAGGTTGAGAGGCCAAAGTCTAGGTTGAGAGGCCAAAGTCTAGGTTGAGAGGCCAAAGTCTAGGTTGAGAGGCCAAAGTCTAGGTTGAGAGGCCAAAGTCTAGGTTGAGAGGCCAAAGTCTAGGTTGAGAGGCCAAAGTCTAGGTTGAGAGGCCAAAGTCTAGGTTGAGAGGCCAAAGTCTAGGTTGAGAGGCCAAAGTCTAGGTTGAGAGGCCAAAGTCTAGGTTGAGAGGCCAAAGTCTAGGTTGAGAGGCCAAAGTCTAGGTTGAGAGGCCAAAGTCTAGGTTGAGAGGCCAAAGTCTAGGTTGAGAGGCCAAAGTCTAGGTTGAGAGGCCAAAGTCTAGGTTGAGAGGCCAAAGTCTAGGTNCCATCGTCTAGGTTGAGAGGCCAGGGTCTAGGTTGAGAAGGCCATGCCTCTCCACCAGAGGGTCTTGCCCCTCAGTTTCGAACATGTACTTTAAGGTCTAAATTGTAATTTTAACGCTCCTTTTCTCAGTGAGAACGAGGAAAGAGATCGTGCAAACTAGAAATCGAAATGAGATGGCCAGGCTAAATTAATTATAGAAACACACTCACAAAGGGCTGAAAATATATCTCCAGCTTTCCATCCTGTACTAGCCACTGTTGGTTCCGATGCCGCTACATCTTGATTGAAAAGATGTTTGTTGCTTCTATAGCTTCACAGCTAACTATTCTTGAGTTGAGTTCGATGTATAAGTGTTCTAATCAAAAGTTGTCTATATTTTGTCTTGAGATGCTGAAAGAAATAATGCCATGCAGTATGAATGATGCAGATGTTTAAAAATGTCCAGAGATATTTTAAGTGGACCAGGACGTCAAATTTGTCTGATCGCGCGCATAGTATGTCATATTCTAAGAGAATTACTCCCCGAAATTTGTGAGCAATGCGTAACAATTGTATTATTAATTCATCCGTTTGGAATCGGATGCACTTGCCAGCTCTACTTGCATCGCTAGTCTGGTACTAACGTGTCGCTTACCATGCAAATTTCGTACAGGCTCAGGCAATGGAGCAATGCTATTGATGTCAGAACCAAGGTCGACCAGTGTTTAGGTTACAGGATCGGATGAAGCTCCTTCAATTGAAATCGTAGGTCTTTGCTATAACCTTTTGTTGCAAGTCCGGCGTACTATCTTATAGATGCTAAAAGTGTGCACATTTTCAGTCACCTTAACGCACGATTAGGAAAAGAGTTTCATTTTTATCAAGCGAAGCAATTTCCTTTTATTGAAAGTGAAACCTTTTCATGCTCGTAATCAGGCTGTTTTTTAAGTTAACCAAGCACGGTGTCCGTGTATTGATGTAATAAATAGCATTACACGTCTTGGATTTGATGCGTCGATAAGATAAAGTGATCCGTGCTTTGTAATTTACGACATAACAACTTTAAACCCTGACTTAGCGCAATACTCGCATTTGTGCGCTGGTTACGAAACGTAACCTTGTCAGTTGTAGAGCTTGCGCTNAAGTGTTCACAGTGAAAACCTGTACGAATAGGCTTCTGTATTCTATGGTTTCAGGCGCCAGCCTCAGCAGGTAACCAGCACGCTGGCAACCTGCTTTCACTGTGTGCGTACCCTTACGTACCATGAATCATACCCAATAGTACCTAAGTCTGTTGATTCCAAGCGTTTGTGTCACCTGGATGAATTCTGTCATTTCGCAAGTTTATTTTATGTCGGGAAATTGAAACATTTAAATGTGAACGTGAGCGACAACGTCGCCCTACGTACTCCTCCTGTAAGGCTGTAATACGTTTTGTATATGTTCTTCTATTCTTATCCTATCTATACACTGATTCGTTTATGTTAAGAATAGAAGTTCTAATTACGATGCGTAAATTGTTCAAGAATTTTATGTTAGCTTGTTTTTTCAAATACGAATATATATACGAATATATATATTCATTTTTATTCATTGCATTGTTCATCTTGATTTTAAGCCATTTTACAGTACCCATCCCTGCTTGGTTTATTTCATTTTGCTTCGTTTCCTTTCGTTATTTGACACTGAAATATTTACTGGCCTTGACTGTTTTTTGAGTTAGTTCACAGTCAGAAAAATGCATATCAAGTTTTCATTTTATTTTGTATTTTTACCGTTTACTGACCGATTCGGTTTGTCTCTTTTATTTGTTGACTACAAAGTGACGCGTGACGCAGAGCGTTGCATCGCACCGAGCTGTTCACTGCAAGCTTGCTTGTGGGCCCCCACTTATACCTTAGCTTGAACATCTTATCTATTAAAGTTAACATGAGTCTGGAGTTCCAGCTCGTAGATGAGCTACGAGAGAAGCTTCAAGAAGCCAACCTCACCAAGGAACAGATCTCGAAGATCGTACCACCGGTAATGCTTTTTCTTCTATCTTTGCTCACATCCGTGCGTCGTCCCTGATGTTCCGTCCGTTTGCGATGTGCGTTAGTAATAATCTAACATGTTATACATTTCGTCAAATGCTACCTAATATTTTAAATTGTTTTATGGTTTATTGTGTACATAAATAAGCTATTCATCCGCTGGTGGTCGTAGTTCTTACTCAGTGTATAACTAATAATTTTTTCTTTGATCAGCATTACCTAATGTGTAAACGTGTAAATTTCATCCACTAATCATCCCTGTTCTCGCAGCCTACTGTCGATATTTCTTAAATGCCGCAACTCTACGGATAAACGCAACATGTTGTATCTTCTGTTCTTCTCCCATAAATTTGTCAACGTTTTTCGACTGTTTGCTTGTAGTGATCTCTATATGCACTAAATTCCAAGCTCCTACGTCTTCCATAATCTGATGGACTTCTCCCGTCGGGAGCGATTGTCTCTCGAGGCATGACGGTTGAGCGATGGACTTCCACAAATTGACAGGTTCAACAGAACGACCATCACAGATGTTGATTCTATTCTTCTTTCTATTGTTCCCAACAAAGGAAATTATCCCTCGTGTTTGTATTTAAGCTTCCTTGTGGGAACTTCTCTGCTCACTTCAAGGGCTGTAAAAATTAATGTTTCGTCCACTATGTTTCTTCTGAAAATTTATAAAATCCTCCTATTTACAGCTGTAATTACTACTTTTTGTTCTAATATCTTGTAACACACTAAACCACCATCTACGCTCGTTTGCTGACATCGAAAGCTTCTCCAATGATTTATAGATTAATTTTTTCCTTACTGAATAACTATTACATTTTTTCAAGTATTTTTTGTCTGTTTAGTCTATTTCTTGATTTTTTAAATGCATACCTTATAAATTGATTATATATATACCTCATTATTTTTGATTCGTTGTTGAAATATTTTCAAACTTTTGTTTCATTATCAGCTTGTTGGATGGTTGTTTTTATTTTGCATTTAACTTAGTCTTTATTATTTATTGAAGGCATTTAACAGATACTTCAATGTGCGTAGGACATTAAGGACGGATGACAATTATTTATAAATGAACCAATAGCTATTGATTCGGTATGTATTATTTGATCTGTAATCAATGCGGAATGCGATGATAAAACAAAGCGTGCGGTTGGTGTGTTGGCTCGGTGTAATGACAGAGTCATGGCACGGTGCCCCCTGCTCGATTTAGCTGCACTCTGGTCTTTCAGCTGTTTGGTGCTCTGAGCTCTGCCGCTACTCCATGCTAGTTACCATTCATGCCTTACATCACCTTGGAAATATGCTAAACTTTAGCTTTATTAGTCACTGTGCTGCTGTCGATCAAAGCTCGCACACAGTCGCCCGGTATTCGATTGTCCTCTCATGTTAATAAAATAGCATAGCACTCAGCATCTGCAGCCAACAGTCTATAGTTGTGGCATCGTAGATTTCTAACACGTTCGCTTGTCTGGGATACGAATGTACAGTGTGACGAAAGCAAGCTATTATAGATATAGTACTACCCATGTTATGGAATTATTGCACTATTTTTGCGAAATTCTTCAATAAGATAACCTTTCAACGATACTCGTAAAGTATGACCGATCGTTTTTATACTTATTTTTAATTATTATTTTTGTTGTCGCGTCTGATCTACAATCGCGATCGATGCTCTGCCAAAATGAAACCACACTAAAATTAATCAGGTTAACTTTATAGAGAGGTCAAGACTAGTTGCGTCCACTGCACCGTGTGTAATATTTAATAAATGCATACAGGTGAGCAAATCACGCATCGTTAGAAGTTCTTCATGATCTCCGGAAGTTTCTTTAGTTTTTATTTTGATTCAAATCAAAATTCAAAATATTCAAATAGTGATTCATGTGTTGCTAGACGCTGCTGAAGCGACACCAGCACTCGTTGCCCGCCTATGAGGTCAACAGCTACAAGAAGCTAAAGGAAGTGAGTTCAAAGACTCAATAGTTGGTTAGCCTTAAACTAAATAACTCTTGTTTAATGCTCTATATGGCTTGTTCTGTGGCTATTGAAATCACATTTTAGCTTAGTTCACTGTTTGAAATCCAATGTGCATATTTATTTTTAGTCAAGATGACTTCTTAATCGATATCAATAATCTATGCCTCTTGATTTTCAACGACCTGTAGTGTCATTTATTGTTGAGCACACCCTGTTTGAGAACCCCACTTATCTCCCTCTTCCCCAATAGTAATGTGTGCCTCGCTCTGTCTAAGGAAGCGCATCGAGCGATTATAGACAGCGCATAATTATTGTTAGTTGAGAAGACTTGTTAATCGATATCAACAATCTATGCCTCTTGATATACAACGACCTGTAGTGTCATTTACTGTTGAGCACGGTTGAGAACAAGTGAGGCACTTATCTCCCTCATGCTCCGCTATAGTAATGTGTGCCTCGCTCTGTCTAAGGAAGCGCATCGTCGCCTCAACCCTCAACTGCCACCTGCAAAGCCTAAGATCCCGAGAGGGCAACAGAAGCGCTACCTGCAGGAGTTTCAGGACGCTAAGGCTGCTGGTGAGCTGTCTATATTTGAAGCCTGTAAATCCTATTACTTAACAAGCTTCAAACGTCCTTGTATTACTATTCGGTTTGCAGGTTTATCAAATATACGAAAAAGGAAAAATTGTTCCTTTCTTCACTGTGTCAGGCGTGAAGTGCGTCATTTTATGCGTAGTGCGTTCCTTTCGGCACTGCGCTTTCAAAAGTGCGTCATTTTATATACACTTTTATGTCGGCAGGCCAGGCGATTTTCGTATATATGTCTTTATGCTTCGACGAAATCCTGATTATTACATTGATAGACAACGATGTTAAATGCGTCGGGATAAAAATACAAAAATAGATAACGTTGTAACAATGTTCTAACATCTGAGTGTTGTCCTCTTAAAGTCTTCACTACTATTTGCACAGGAAAGTTCGCACATCTGAGCGAAGAAACACTCAAGCAGCTCGAGGAGGAAGTTAAGGCTGCCGCAACAGACGCTGAGAAGGCCCCACAGCTCCAAGAGTTCCTACAAGCCACCCAAGAGGAGGCAGGTCGGTCATCTGGTCCGTGCTGTAGCGTCCTAATTGTGATAATTTGTTACCTTTTGTTATCATTTTTTAAGCAAGTAATTATTTTCCCTGCAAGCAACTCACGATGAAGCAGGTCGGTCATCGGGTTCGTGTTGTAGCGTCCTAATTGTGATAATTTGTTTCCTTTTGTGATCATTTTTTAAGCAAGTAATTATTTTTCCTACAAGCAACTCAAGAGGAGGCAGGTCGGTCATCTGGTCCGTGTTGTAGCCTACTAATTGTGATAATGGGTTACCTTTTGTGATAATTTTTTCAAGAAAGTAATTATTTTCTTGAATTAATTCAGTTTAACTAAGATGCCTTTCAAGAGGAACGCATGTTAAGTGTTTGTTACATTTATTCAACTAGCATTAAAGTTTAACAACTATTAAAATTCTTCTAAATGTCACTCAGATTTTATTGCAATCGTGTTGATCCAATTCAATTGTTTAACTGGTTAACGATCATATCACGAATTGAGAGAAATGATAGCTATTCTGTTAACATGCACGGTATTTATTACTTTCAATTGAAAAGTTATGTATAAAATGAAGGAGCTGTCGATAACCTGCTCAAAGTTGTGTACCGCCTCCAACAAAATTTTACATTCCAATATTTGAGTATTGTTATAACGTTATAGACTCGGATAGGTAATTTCGATGCAGTGTTAGTTTTAGGGACTGCAAGGTACCGTCAAGTGGGGTGATTTCGGTCACCGGGGTGACTTCGGCCACCACTACAACAGAAACACATGGCAGCAAAACAAAATAATAAACGTTGGTCAAAGTGACTGGGGTGACTTTGGCCACCGGGGTGACTTTGGCCACCGGGGTGACTTTGGCCACCGGGGTGACTTTGGCCACCGGGGTGACTTTGGCCAACATTTATTATTTTGTTTTGCTGCCATTTGTTTCTGTTGTAGTGGTGGACAAAGTCACCCCACTTGACGGTACGAGAAGTGTAACTGTGACGGTTCATTCTAGGCTCCAGCGAAGCTTGCTCGCCGGAACATCTACAGCCTCGTCCTCAGGACGCGCCCGCATCTGATCAGTCGTCTGCTGCTCCCGTTGAGGTCTGAATTTCTTATTGTATAAATTATTATTATTTGTCTTGGATTAATATCTCAAGGCTCACAAATGGCAATTGTTCAACTTGAGTGTTGTTCTTTTATTTTTATTGTAGTTTCTGTTGAATGATGCCGAATGTTAAAGTGCCCAAATTCTTCCTAAATGTATAGGAAAGTTCAAAAGCCAAATCGCCTCGGTACTGTTATTAAATTTAATTCATAGGCTCTGAAAAAGTTTTGTCAGTAACTTGTTTCCCAAGAGTTTCCACTTATATAACTTGCGCTTCGCATTCAAAAAGTGACCACACCCATCATCTCACCAATTTAACGTTGACCTACAACGAGCTAGTATAACGTCCATTGGAATTCATGTTGCAGTCATTGCCATATTTATTTTCTATTCCTTTTTATTCCTTCCTAAAATATTGTTTTTTGTTCAGGAAGTAATCCCACCTCCCCCCGAGTTTCCCTCTGACCCGTGGCAAGCTTTCATCGACTACATGGCTGCGAAACCTGAAGCCACGCTGCCCATCCCGGGCTCCGAGGGTCGAGTCCTCGAGCGCGGCAAATACAAGGGCAAGGGCATCGCCGTCTTCACCAGCGGCGGCGACTCAATTTCGTATTAGTAGCAGTAACGTGTTGCAGGGCATGAACGCAGCCGTGCGTGCCGTGGTCAGAATGGGACTGTACGTGGGCGCGCGCGTTTTCTTCATCCGTGAAGGCTACCAGGGCATGGTGGATGGCGGGGACGCCATCTGTGAAGCCTCATGGTCTTCCGTGTCCGGTATCATACATAAGGTTGGTCTTGTAAAGGCTTGGCGGAATAACCCGTTCCTATTATTAACAACACATTCAATTAAATGAAACATTCGTCTTCAACATTGATATCATCGATTTGTTGCGTAGTATTAATGCTTGTCAGTGAAAGTTGTGTCGATCCAAGTCTTCTAGTTATCAGTGGGCAATTATAACTAGTTATTTATTCTAGTGATAAGTGAGCTAGTATTATAATTAGTTATTTTTCTAGTGATAAGTGAGCTAGTATTATAATTAGTTATTTTTCTAGTGATCAGTGAGTCTTCACGTGTACTTCACGGTGTGCCTCTTATAATTAGATATAATTAATCGCATTTTGGTTTGCTGACGTAATAGATTTTGCTCAGGGCGGTACTGTGATCGGATCAGCTCGTTGCAAGGACTTCAGAGAGCGCAGTGGTCGACTGAAGGCCGCTAAGAACCTCATCAACAACGGCATTACGAACCTGTGCGTGATAGGCGGAGACGGCTCCCTCACCGGCGCCAACCTCTTCAAGGATGACTGGCCCGCCCTCCTGCAGATTCTTGTCAAGAACGGTGAGAAGCTAGGCTTATCAACAGCCTTTAACCATAACATTTGTGTAAAGAAAACGAGTGCATTTAATGAAATTCAGTAATGTAATGAAAGCGTCATTACTTTGATCTGTAATTTGCGATCATGCATTAAACAGATGTATTAATGTTAACTCGTCTTGTATTTTTTGTACAGATGAAGTAACATTTATCCCAAATACGTACGGCTACTTACGAAACCTTAACATTTTCCTCTGGCTTCTATCGGATCAAAGGCAATCATCTATTGTAATTTTTAACTTGAATTTCGTTTGACTGTGCCCTGAGGTTAAGCTGCTCGCATACCTTATGTCTCTGCTAACAACGTGCCGTGTGTGACCACTAGTTTTTTGGGCAGGTGAGATCACTGAGGAGCAAAGCTTGAAGCACTCGCATCTGAACATCGTTGGCATGGTAGGCTCAATTGACAACGACTTTTGTGGCACGGATATGACCATCGGCACGGACTCTGCCCTGCACCGTATCATGGAGGCCGTCGATGCCATCGCGGCCACGGCCTACAGTCACCAGCGCTGCTTCATCCTCGAGGTCATGGGACGACACTGCGGGTAAGCTACAAATTTCATCATTCAAAAGGATCAGAAATTTGCATATTACTGTAAAGAGCAAAGCAATTTTGCCATCGTGACGAAGACTCTTTGTCTTCAACTCGTACCTCATCCTAGAACAAGTGCGTTGTCGTTTTCGGTGAGCTACGAAATTCATCATAAACACCGTTGGCATTGAGAACGTCTCATAATGCATTTAAGAGTTGAAAATTTCTTCGTTTCATTGTCTATTGAGTTTCACGGTGTTTTTCAATTACATACTGAAAGGATTTGTTATTTTCTTACATGGATAGTTGAGTTTACTGCCTCACATATTACAAATGTCCATTTTTAGAATGTACGACTTGCGGCACAAGCCTCCAGTTGTCTGTGTGAAAACATGGAAAGAGAAAAATGCATGGTGATTCAAATACATTGTCGAGATAAATACTTTACATATCTTAACTAAACGAACAACAAATAAAAATTGCAAGGGAAAACTTAATGGCGGCCTGTTGTCCTAAACCGGTTTCAAAATTAGTTGACAACACCCGGTAAAATGACAGGAATTTTCTCCACCAGAGTTGTTTAGTCTGATCTCGAGTTGCCCTCAGTTACCTGGCGTTGGTTGCCGGCCTCACGTCCGAGGCCGACTACATTTTTATCCCAGAATATCCGCCTCCGCAGAACTGGGAGGACAAACTCTGTGATAAGCTGCAGCAGGCAAGCCTCTTCATTTTCTCTTCTTATTCAGGCTCTTCTGCTGCCTGCCACGCCACGTGATCTTTTGAATGCTACTTCTCTCTGTAGTTTACTAATTCTCAGTAGCGTTGTACTGCTTTTGCTTCTAGGCATCTAAATAATGATCATCTATGAGCTGCTTATCTTCCTTGCGGCATCTGTGTTGATTGCTTGTATGTACTTAGTCTTCTGAGTTGTATTTGCACAAAGTGAGTCCAGTTTTTTTTCTCCAAGTCGCTATATCTGCACTGGGAGTGCTAGTAACCTGACTTGGTTTGCGGTAGATTAGTATGGCTAGAGTACCTTTCCATTTTGCATGCAGTGTAGTAATAGAGTAGCTTTCCATTTTGATTGCAATGGTATTGAACTAGGAGTCCTACTTACAATTTAGGCGGCAAATATTTGGAGACATTCTTTGACCCAAAACGTGTTTGCCACATTCATTCGTCTAATAACCAACACCTGATTATTCTTCTATTGTTAGAGTCGGTGTTCACTTTTCTGTTCGATGGAAGTCTCATGCTTTGCTTTCTTGGGCGTTGTTGAAAATTCTCGTTCAGTCCAAAGGTCGTAAATAATTATTTACTCGTTTCCCTGTTGTCTCTGAACTCGGAGGAATGGACCAATAATGTCTGCGGTGCTGCTGAAACGACTGTTATTGGGATAAAAGGCAGCGAATCTAGTATGGTAATGACGACCGTTTTATAAAGTCATGGATTCTTTGTATGGGCAGCTACTTGAGTCTGTCCGCTGCGATAGCGTGCGAGGCCGACTTCACCTTCATTCCGGAGTACCCTCCTGAGCACGAGTGGCCTGACAAACTCTGCCATAAACTGGCCTCGGTAACACAACCACCCTGCCTATCCCTCACTTAGTTCACGTGGTTACACTCTTGCCTCACAAGTTTTTCTCGTTAGACAAGAGCTTATCCCTTGCCTTACGATAACAATAAGGGATAAACTGTTAGTTTATTCGTTATCGTTGTCCTCACTGCCTTGTTGCCCTCCAAGTGTAGCGTTATCAATTGTGTAATATTGTCCTAACGACCGTTTGTGTTCAGTGTCGCGAGACTTGGTGCCTCTCCTGTCAAAAATAGGACCAGTTTGTTTGCGTTTCCTAGTGGGATTCTCATCACAATTCCCCCAAAAAAGTTTATATATTGGTTGCACTCAAATGTTACGTTATTTGCTCTATCGTCTCGTCATACGTCGATATTGTGGTGCATTGAGAAATTGCATCTTACGGTGGCTTCATGTCCTTTACTTACGTTAACAACTTTCTGCTGTTGTAAAGTTTATTTTTTCTGTTATCTTTTCCTGTTACTCAATTCTGCATGCAGAGTTCTTGTGCTGGTCTATTTAATGTTGCATCTCTTTACCTACAATTTCTTCTACTCAGCTTGTGAAAAATTTTGCGTGCTTATTGTACATGATTGCCTTAATGATTATAAACTGAACATAATAAATGCAACAGCGTAACCAATGCCCGCTTGGCTTTCTTTAATCGTGCCTTGTTTGGCAGGAGCGAGCAATGGGCCAGCGTTTGAACATCATCATCGTGGCTGAAGGCGCGATCGACCAGCAAGGCCAGCCCATCTCTGCTGAAGATGTCAGGAAGGTCTGTTTAGTATTTATTCTAGTCTACTTTGAAGTTCATTCAGAGTATTGAATACCTTCAATGTCAGGAAGGTCTGTTTAATATTTATTCTAGTCTACTTTGAAGTTCATTCAGAGCATTGAATACCTTCAATGTCAGGAAGGTCTGTTTAGTATACGGTCTACTTTGAAGCTCATTCGGAGTATTGAATGCCTTCAATCCTCTTACTAGGACCTCGATGATTCAGTATAGCTTGTTTGTAACAAATAATGTTGCCTATATTAGTGATAAATCCAGCATCACCCGTTGCCTGTAGGTTATCGTCAACAAGTTGGGAATGGACACGCGGATCACGGTGCTTGGCCACGTGCAGCGCGGTGGTGCTCCTTCCGCCTTCGATAGGCTTCTCGTGAGTAGTTGTGATCGCTTCTACAATCAAATTTTGGATGGAACTTGATACTGGTTGTCTTCAGTTATCTCTTAAGTGTGTTGATTGATTAGATTAAATTAAAGCTTAAGTGTGTTGATTGATTAAAATACATTAAGTGTGTTGATTGATTTGAATGTATTTTAGAAGTCATTCGATGGATTTCTGACGAAAAACTTTAGTCAACCTAATTTCGGGAATACGTTGAAAACCTAACTAAAAATTCATCTTAGTAGATATGATTAACATTTTCTTAATTTTTAGATTGATGTATTCTTTTGGTTGAATGTCGGAAATACGAGTATTTAATATTGACAGGGTTGCCGCATGGGAGCTGAGGCCGTTCTTACGCTCATGGAGGCGACGCCTGAGTCAGAACCTTGCGTGGTGTCGCTGGACGGCAATCAGACGGTGCGCGTGCCTCTGGTGGGCTGTGTGCTCAAGACGCAGGCTGTGGCGCGGGCCATGCACGACCATCAGTGGGAGGAAGCCGTCAAGATGAGGGGACGAAGCTTCGCTCGCAACCTCGAGACCTACAAGATGCTCACCCGCCTCAAGCCTCCCAAACCTGCTGAGGGAGATGTAAGTTCTATGCATGAGCGTACTTTAGGGTCATCTTCAGCTATATTGTAGAGATTGGAAATGATATCTTCCGGTCTCATTTTATTAGGCAAACCGTGTATACATTTATTTCAAAAAATATCGAGGAAGAATAAATTAATAATGAACGACGTGTAGGACGGTAAGAAAATGATGGAAATAGTAGAGCTTTTGGGGGTATTGAGTAAGTGCCACGGGTCCTGTGCAATTTGATATCGAAATTGCTAATCAATAACTTATTTGTTTGTGGAGCTTACTTTTGTTTGTGGAGCTGACTCAATACCTTAGGTGTCTTTTTCGACAATGTGGTGAGATATAGGTATTAGGTACTGTCTTCATCTGTGCGAAGTTTACCTCTTTCTGTGATTATTGTCCAACCTTTCCTTAACTCTATTTCTTCCAACATCTTTTGATTTTCAAATTTGGTCATTTTCTATGCTTCTTCTGTGAATATTAAAAAAGGTTTTTGAATAAATATTCTATTTTTGGACTTCATTCGTGCAGTTTCACCTCACACATTTCCTGAAGCTCAATCACATGTTGAGAAAAAAATCACTTGTCGTGTTCCACTAAACTTATATTCTCCTGAATGAAACGCATGCCAACAGTTTTAGTCTTGATTCAGAGTCTGCTAATCTTGGTTCTTTTTTATGTTGGTCCATTGTTCTGTACACAAGTCTTGTTGCTCCCTCAATCGAACGTCGCTTTGTATTTTGCTTCACCTTTTTCAATAAATCAACATTTGCCCCCACGTTAAACACCAGCCCACAGTGACAGAAGGGAGATATCCCAGACACCCAACTACATCAAAATGCTGACACAATCCTAAACTTTCCTTCATTTTTCTGGCATCTAAGCCACCTAGAATTTTTTTTCTTGTGTATCCAATCGTCGTACTGCTTGCAATGCTCTTCTGACACTCTAATCTTTTTTTGTACGCTGCAGAAGGCGAATGGTGGTACAGCTACTCTCAAGAGGGTAAGGTCTCTCTCTCTCTCTTGTGCTAATTCTCTTCATTCAAATTTTTAGTGCCCTCAGATGTTTCATTTGTAGAGCGCGTCGATTTATTTCTTGCATCGGCTTCTTGACCTAACGATGCAGAAAGCGCCACCCCGTTTTTTATGTTAATTTCCGTATAAACGATTATTGTCTTCTCATATAATTTCATGGCTTCACGTATTCATTTCATACGAACCAGCTCTTGCAATACATGGGCCATACTTTCAAGACTCGCTAAATGAACGTAAGTACTTACGCTCTATTTTCTTGTCTACGATTGGTGGATTTTGCTTGAAAGGCCGTCAATGATTGACTGATGAAGTTACGATCTCTTAAATTTTTTGAAAGTATAGGCCCAGGCCCCAGGTTGTTAAGACATTTGTCCATTTCTAAATTGCTGGGCAAGAAGACATAAATTTGCGTTCGTGATGTACGAATAAATAGTAAGCGCCGAACGTCGATGTTCGCAAAAGCGAGCCCTTTAAAATCATAAATTAGCTGAAGCAAGTATCTGATAACGTGAAGAATGCCATGAAATCTATGTCAAGTACGTTAAGTTGTGCTATAATAAAGACCGCTGTTGTTGTACCAAGTGGTTGTTATCCTCACGCATCGTCTCATGTGTCGCAAATTGCTGCCTGTAAATAGTACCTTGAATTGGCCAGATACCGCGCCAGTTTCCCTCTTAGAACTCAAATTGGTTATGCTTCATCAGTTTTTTGTCTGTTTAGCTTAAATTGTAATTAGTTTCTAACAAGAAATTATGTAGTCTCTTTGTTCAGTTGTGTTAGATATTCTTCCAATTTATTTTCGTCAATGTTCGTTTCGTTATGCAATGCTAGTCGAGTGCTCGTGCCCTGTTTTTAAATTGTTGCGATTTATAGTTTCACTTTTGTGCTCCATTTTTTATTTTTACTTCATTATTTTGTTTCGATTATTTTGTTATTGTTTCGTTGTACAATGTTGTGTTCTTGTCTACCTTTCGTGTTCGTTTCTTTACTAGACATGAATTTTGACATCGTTTATTTTGTATTGAAATTATATGTTCCATAAATTGTACCTGCAATGACTGCAATGTTGGTATAGAAGGTTCCACTCCCTATGCCTTGCTAGTGCAATATATTTGTCCTATTTAGTGATGGGAAGAAACATGTGCTACATTGTGCTTAAATTAGCGTCCTGCTGAGACGATAAATATTTTATTTGTACGAGTACTTTAGAAGCAGCCTGAAAAATGCGCACCCTAGTACATACTGATAGTTGATATGCTGCTGTAACAGGAGCATTACGTATTCATTGGATGCCCAGGGGCCATACTTTCAAAACTCGTTAAGTGAACGTAAGTATTTACGCTCCATTTTCTTGTCTATGATTGGTGGATTTTGCCTGAAAGGCCGTCAATGATTGGCTGATGAACTTACGATCTCCTAACTTTTTTTGAAAGTATGGGCCCAGCTCTCGTAACATTTATGCTTGTTAAGTAAAACTCGTTTGTTTTGTCGCACGCAGCAAGACACGCTCTGGAACAGAGACAGCAGCCACGTGAGTTCGGTGTACCGTATTGATGTGTTCAGCAAGAACGTCTTCCGATTTGCCTTCACGTTCTAAAGGACTTATTTTCCTTCTTAGATCTTTCATTCTACTTGTGTTATTAGCAAAGAAAGTTTTTTCCGCGCAGTTAACTTAGCTGCTCTTTCTTAGTTATTTTTTATATGGCGTTATTATTCTTCACGTTCTGCTGGAGAATTAACTATCGTGGTAAGTTTTTAATCGTTTGAAGTTTTTTACTAATAATTCTATCGTAGTAAGATTTCATTCCATTTGGAACTTGATGAATGTTTCAGCGTGGAACAACAAACTGGTCAAAAGGAGGAGGCATCTGAATCTTTCATCTCTAATTATATAATTGGCTTTAATTGCTTATCCTCTTCTAGGGCGGCTACAACCTGGCCGTGATTCACGTGGGTGCCCCCGCCTGCGGGATGAACGCAGCGGTGCGGTCGTTCGTACGTAACAGCATATACCGCGGCGACACCGTCTACGGCATACACGACGGCTTCGATGGCCTCATCGAAGGAAACGTGCGTACTTTCTTTCATTTATTTCAACATCATCATTCAATGAGTTTTGCTAGTAACCCCGTATAGCTATTATGTTATGTAGTATAGGAAGTTTTTCCCGTATAGCAATTATGTTGTGTAGTATAGGAAGTTTTTCCCGTATAGCTATTATGACAGGTAAAGGAGATGTCCTGGGCAGAGGTGACCGGTTGGATCGGCCAGGGTGGTGCCTTTTTGGGAACCAAACGCTCTCTGCCGGAAAAGAATCTCGAAGTGGTCAGTATTGCTGCACATGTTCCTTGTCTCATATTTTGATGCTTTGAAGCTGCTGATGTAGCGATGTGTGCTGCTCTATAATCGATTCGGAAAATTTAATGGCAGCAAAGCAGGCTTGTTTTATTTTGTTCCTTCTGATGCTGAAAATCAGTTGGCAAATTTATCAAGTGGATTATTGATATTATATTGCAGATTGATGCAAATTATTCATAAGCCAACTAAAAGCTGATCAGCTCGTAAAATTAAGTTTTATTTTCGCTCGAATTATTTTGATAATGTAATTTTTTGTCTCAAAATTTACTAGCAATTAAAAATTTATTCCTAACTTCTACGATTTCATTAACACTGCGCTAGAATATTAATATGTATTTCCTTTGTCACCAAAGTTATCTCTGGCAGATGACGTGACAATGATATTCAATCCATTAATTTTATTGCATCTGAATGTCAGGTGGCAGAAAGGTTCCGGGAATATAAGCTTCACTCGTTGTTGCTCATCGGAGGTTTTGAAGCATACAATAGCTTGGTGCAGCTCTACGAAGCTCGAGGAAAATATAAGGAGTTCTGCATCCCCATGGTGGTCATCCCTGCTACGATCAGCAACAACGTGCCTGGCTCCGACTTTAGTCTTGGCTGCGACACAGCGCTCAACGAGATCGTTGAGGTGCGAAAGGAACCAACATTCCGATGTGCTCAGCTTTGTGAAAGACGCTCTTACATGTGCACCGTGTTTGTACTGCATTCAGTTTGTTTTGAGATTTGTATATTTATGGTAGAACCCTTCATTTAAACATGTTTGGTTAAAAATAATGCCAGTATTATTGAGGACTTCTTTTGAGTTTCTTCTTTTACGTGAGATATCAAACTCAAAAGAAGTCCTCAATAATACTGGCATTATTTTTAACCAAACATGTTTATTTTGAGAGTAAATCACACACTTCTCGTCCCGCTATCACTCACGTTTGAAAGAGCCCACGAATATTGTCCATTTTCTCTCGCTACTTAATGGTCTATTTCCCAGATATGTGACCGCATTCGGCAGTCAGCGCAAGGTACCAAGCGACGTGTGTTTGTCGTCGAGACCATGGGTGGTTACAGCGGCTACCTCGCTACTCTAGCTGGTCTCGCAGGCGGTGCTGATGCCGCATACATCTATGAGGAGCCTTTTGGCATCCAGGTGGGAGCAATATTATTTATTACGCCCTATTTCGAATGATTTCTACTAGCAAACAGAGTCGAAACAACAACAGCAAAAACGTTCTCGAAATCCGATAGCAAAGAGATGGTTTAATAGGTGTTTTACATTGGTAATCTTGGTTGCAAAAATTGTTTTCTGTTCCATTTAAATTATCTAATTAATATTGCAGCATGTTTTACTGCTTCACACTCCATTGAGTCATTGGTTGATTTACCTTGAGAATTTATTTATGTTATATTTGCAATGAGCCGTAAAATTTTAAATTCCAGGGCACATAATACTTTGATGAACTTGCGCCTCAGGAGCTGCAGCTGGACGTGTGCCACATGGCCGCCAAGATGGCGGAGGGTGTGCAGCGCGGACTAGTGCTCCGCAATGAAAATGCCAACGAAAATTACACTACAGACTTCATTTACAGGCTCTTCTCGGAGGAAGGCAAAGGCCTCTTCAGCTGCAGACAAAACATTCTAGGTCAGTATTTCTTCACGCTAAAACTGGATCTGAATGTGCACATTCGATTTTAACTTGCACAGAAAGTTTTGACGTTTATAACGTTGCATTATTATTCAATGTTAGTATGTTTGAATGACAAATAAACATTATTTTACGTCTAAAACTTTTATTCGAAAACACGTTTTTTCTTTGTCTCCACAAACTCTATAAAAGCTAAACTCAATTTATCTGCCTCCTTCATATTATGGATCACTTACATAAAAAGCTAAACTCAATTTAGCTGCCTCCTTCATATTATGGATCACTTACATAAAAAACTAAACTCAATTTAGCTGCCTCCTTCATATAATAGATCACTTACATAAAAAGCTAAACTCAATTTAGCTGCCTCCTGCATATTATGGCTAACTTACATAAAAAGCTAAACTCAATTTAGCTGCTTCCTTCATATTATGGATCACTTACATATAGAGGAGATGTCACATCGTTTGATTGTGCAGGTCACATGCAGCAAGGCGGCTCCCCTAGCGTCTTCGACCGCAACATGGGCACGAAGATGGCTGCTAAGTGCGTCACGTGGCTGATGGACACCATGGCCAAGTATCGCAAGGAAGATGGAACTGTCTATTGTGACGATGCCAACACCGCTGTCCTGCTGGGTCTTCAGGGCAGGTCTTATGGGTGAGTACCTGCCAGCATCTGTTTGCTAATATATTTATTAAATTAATAATTCGACTTTTTCTGTATGTTTGATGAGTTCTTGTGTAGCCTTAGTGTTAGGCAGAAACTTTCTTACAGGACAAAACCGCAATTTGAGTTGTGATCGAAGCATCAAAGATTACTAATTGTTACTAAAAAGGTTTATGTATTGTGACTTTAAGTTCTTGCCTACTCGCTTTCATTTTGTGGACACTTGATTTATTCTAATAAATGCCTGATTTTATTTGCAAAGAATGAAATTTTAAACTTTTCCAGACAAATATTTGTTCATTCACTCGCCCATGTATACCAGTAACAATTTTTAAGGTTTAATTTCCATCTGTATAAAGGTTCAAGCCGGTATCAGAGCTGAAGGCCCTGACTGACTGGGAACGCCGCATCCCCAAGTCCCAGTGGTGGATGTGCATGCGTCCTCTGCTCAGAATCCTGGCGAAACATGAGGCCGCCTACCAGGAGCAAGGCATAAACGTCAAGGAGGTCGAGGAGGCGCTTGACTAAACCTATGCCCTTATATAATCAAGATATTGTTAGTCATGCGTCCTCTGCTCAGAATCCTGGCGAAACATGAGGCTGCCTACCAGGAGCAAGGCATAAACGTCAAGGAGGTCGAGGAGGCGCTTGACTAAACCTCTGCCCTTGAATAATCAAGACATTGTTAGTGCTATGCTTCTATAAGTTGAATTAGAATTTCCTTTCTTTGAAAAATTACAGCATTATGATAGTAGAGTAGAAAAGGTCATTGAATGTTTTATTGTAGGTAACTTTTGAGTTGTAGTCTATTATAATTACTGTTGCAATACTTGAACAATGCCATGTATGAGACTATTGGAAACAACTTTATGTATCATTGCACCCGACTTTATTGGTGGCTGTGTGCTCGCTAATGTGGTGCAATGTTAGCTGCTAGTCATCTTGTACATTTGTGGGAAGAGCAGCTGGTATAAGTGGGGAAATTATATCATTTGTTTAAGTTACTCTTATCCAATTTCTGATGGTCACAAATTAAGCCTCTGTGTTAATTATTGTAGAATGTTATATCTTCCTGATTCTATTTGGTTTGTTTCGGAATTTTCGTTGAGTTGTCTCAGGCTTCACGTGATCAATTTTGCTTCTAAGATGTGCAGTATTGTGCGTTGTTGCTAGAGTCGCAGCATGGCTTCTTGTTACTAACGGCAATTTTAGTCTTCAGCGAATTTTCTTGGATTTATTTACTTTGAGGAGACATTTTCTGTGAACTCAATAATATCACAATACTTATGTTTAAATTCTAGAGGTGGCTTAATATATAACAGTTGGAGCTGTTACCGTGTGCAATGTTCGATTAAGATGCGAAAATAATATATATATTATTAATTGAATTTACCCTATCTATTACTTTGTTTCTTTATGATTTTCAGTTGCTTATTGTTTGTTTAGGTTTTGGATTTTTGCTCTGAGTTGTGGTGGGTAGTAGTCAAGGCGACTCCAATTTCATTAATACATATACCCGTGGAAAGAGCTAGGCTAGAAATCGAAAGTAACCTGGATTTAAAGAGGTCTCTAAGCATCGTTGATCATCTAGAGAAATTGAAATCCCATGCCCTGAGCAATGCTATTTTTTTCAACTTTCATCCAAATGTTTGATTTCTTTTCGTCGTGCTCATATATATCGAAGGAGGTAAAAATTTCATGTAAGCTATCTAGTTACAGTAAAAATTTGAGCTTTATGTTATCATAACTGATATTCTGATGGATATTAGTAAACTCTTGATTGGACTGGAGTTCTTCTTTCTGCCTTTTAATAAATATTTTCAGATTTTGATGTGAATCACCCTAATGACTTTTAGCTGATTGTTAGCTCGTGTTAAAAATAGAATTGTTGATTCTTAAAATAATTATTTACCAGTACGTATGTTATGGCAGAGAATTATGTAGCAACAAGTTCAGAATCCAACTCTCACTACTTGCTACTAATCTCTTGGTAATTTTATGAAAGAACGCAGAGGAAAATAATACAAAAGTAGTTTCATTCACAATAGGAGTCTGTTTTGATGTAGGTATCAATTTCAAGCATTTTATTTTGCGTCTTCAAATTGACTTATAAACACTAATGATTCTTGGCATAAGGAGGTCGTCAGGTAAGTTGTCGACACTACTCATAGAATTAAATCTAACAGATTTATTCGAAGTCGTTAACTAAGTTTCGCAACCACATTCAGGTATCCGTACCTTGCGCTAAACATACGACATCCGAAAAGTTTAATTAACTTTTGTGCTTCGATGCTTGACATGCACAACGCTTTCTATCCTCAATATGGATTCCAAACGCAGCATTGCGTTGTGAGCAATTTCAATGAAATTCAGCGGATTTTCAATCCGACACTCGGCAATTGCACGCTCCTTCAACCGCCCATTGTCGTGATCTTGCTCGATCTCCTTGAAAGTTTCATGCAAGTGCTTCAAGAGGCTAAATCGTGTCTTTGCAACTAACATCCCATTCAATATTTGCGGGACTTCTGCGAGCATGGAAATCAAAAGCTTTCTCTCCTCAGGACCTAATTTCATTAGGCAAGGATATTTTTCAATGACCAGAAGCATGGCACACTGAATAAATCCATCACTCGGGGACCACACCAAAGTACCGCGTAAGTCATTTTCAATGCAATTATCTTTGATTGGAAAATCTGCTAAACTCTCATCATTATTGATTATTTTCTGTTCCAATAGAAAGTTCTTGGAGTCTTCAAGCCAATTCCGGAGCATTTTCAGGCATGCAGTCAGCGCTTTAGAAAACTGATTGCACTGCGTAACCGTAGGACCAGAAATGATCATCTGCGAACTGTGGCAAGTGAAATGAACGAACCTCGAAGAGCCAAGATAAATGGCATTAACCTCCACTTCACATTGACTGGCGTGATCAAATATCTCAGTTTTACATACAAGAGGCGAAACTTTCAGGTGCTGCACGAGAAAACTGAACTCTTCGTCAGAAACGAAATCCACAAGTGCTATCTCGTGTTGCTTGCAAGCGGCCACTGCCCAGTCAGGGAAGTGTAAGGATGATACAATTAGCTCGATTTTCTGATTCTGAAATTCCTCCATCAGCTTCTGCATTCCGAAAGAACTGTGGAAAATGCTCCTCATGAAGGTATTTTTGTCGCTCGTGTCGATGGTTAGAAAAGACGAGAAAGAATCCGTTGATTGTTCTAGGGGAAGTGACCAAAAAAGTACTTTTCTGACGCAGTTGTCACTTTTTTTGAGCTCTATTTTAAAGTCTCGCGATATAATGAAACCTTTTGTTACTCGTGACATTCTGAATGGACACTTGTATACCTGAAATATTATATTTTGGATATTATTTAAAGCGAATAAGACTATTTCTTGTAGTGAGTGGCACTTAGAATTAACTTGTAGAAATTCACTAAGAATAGCTGCCAATTTGCCGGCCAAATACTTTGGAAAACGTGTCTCCAAGAAAGAGATGAGAGATGCATCGATTATTCTAGACCAATTTTCATCCTTAGGCGATATAATAGAACAGTATCGCCTTACAGCAAGCTGGCTTAGTCGTGGCAGCAAATGCTGACGCAAACGCCGAACGACTTTGAGTGTAGAACATCGAGCAAACGAAGTCTCTGCTGACATCTCACGCATGCCAGTGGAAAAAAATATATCGTTCGTAACATTAATAGCATTGTTGAGTAGCACGAGACCTGTTTTGGAACCATCTCCTCTCTGCTTGGCAAATTGCAAGATGCCTGACACAGCGAAACTGAGCACAGAGTCCTCAAGACGCAAAGACGAAAGGATTTCGCAACCGTCTCTCGTGATGATAACTTTTCCAGAATTTTCCATGAGCACTGCGGAGCCTCGACGACCAAAACTCGCTGCCACCACTGCTGTGAGGACATTGCTGGAGAGGCAGAGGCGATCCAAACGACATGTTGCGACGCGATTTGGCTGTAAATTAAGTTAACTGTAAATTGTGAGTTACTTGAGGTATACAAGTATATTTGAGAAGCAGCATCTATCATCGAAAGTAATGGTAAAAAATAGAGGAACTTTGAAGAAATTCAATCTTTACTTAATAATAGAATAATTTTTTCGCTGAAAGTTATCAAATTCTAGCTATTCACAACCTTAAATTTCAAAAATTTACTGAAAACACAATCACCAGATCACCCTTATCTTGCAAAAAACATCAACTTACTTGGGTCATCGCAATGGTTACACTAGCCATACTGGCTAGTGAGGCGGCTCCACACTCGACGTAAACAAAACGTTTCCATGGAAACGTTGGCAGGTGTTCATTCGATTTCTGCAATACTAAGTTCGGTTGCGAATTTTGTTCGAGGTAGCTTTACCCTTTTAATGAGACACACAGAAAACTTTTCCATGCAATAAAAATTAGATTGACTATTCTGTCAGATCCCGTTATTTTTAGATTAAGGAATTAATATTATGAATTAAAGAAGAACCCGTTAAACCTACGTTTAGAATGGGACTTAAATTGATCTCACTACTAAGAAGTTTGAATCCGCAATACTCGTTGTGCAGAGATCGTATTACCTGGTACAAAAATTTTATTCCTTATTGTGAAACAATGAGTCATTTGAAAATGGATGAATTGGGAAATTGACAAGGAACATCTAAATCGGCTAGAGGAAATTGTATTTAAACATAAGTTAAATTTTCCATTGAATTTCTTGACAGGACTTAAATAGGAGCTCCCTGTTGAATGTGGGTTTGAACGATCCTTCTTTAATTTCAAAATTATAAACTGTATTCTGAATAATGCGGTTCTCAACTAGCAGAGATAACCAAGCTGCTAATAGATCTACATTAATATCGGAGTTTCTCGAAGAAAAAATTAAATTTAACAGATTTTAAAAGTCGTACCTCGACACTGGAGAGATTTGTATAGGAGAAGGGCTTTCCTCAACCTGTTATCTGCTATGGTTGCTGAGTGCTGATCATGGTTGAACTAGTAGTATATAGTTCAACCATGAGTGCTGATCGTCCGCGGTATCTCGCATAAATTCATCAATGTTGTTTTTACAACATTGTGCCTATACACCATTATGTGCCTATACACCATACATGTGCCTATACACCATACATGTGCCTATACACCATACTACTGTGCCAATACAGCCTTCCTACAACCATGATTACCAGTGTAAACATTCTTCTTCTTCTTTTTCTTCTTCATAGTACAGTGGATACTTCATTATTGAAAAAAAAAGAGGAACTACTGGGGGTGGTGCGCATGCACACGGCAGCATAAATCTCTTAATAAAAGAAGGTTTGAAGTGTTTCTTGCTCCATTCATACTCCATTTGCTTTACAATACTTGGCTATAGTTTCTGTAGTTAAGTGAGCTGGATTTAATCCGTTTGTAAGTTTGTGATGCATAAATCCCACCGATGTTGAAATATTCTTTCGCGATTTCTTCGAAAAACTTCGAAATTTTTAGATCAAACTTCATCCACTTTCGGTTGTGTTATAACTGTTCAACTTTGAGATACCTCTGGTGGACGACAATTTGCAAATTCGTAGGTATTTCAGGTTTTAAAGTTATTATTATTCTTACGCAAGATTATTTATATTACTCTTGAAGCGGCATGAGATTCGAGTAGAAGTAGTTGGACAGTCTCTTGGGTGTTAGATCTCTGTCATTATAGTTCTCTGAAAATTAATAAAAAATCATCGAGAGCAGTGGTTCCCAATCTGTGAGACCTGAGGGCATAAATTTGTTTAGGTGATAACGAAAATGGGAGATTTCTAGTCAGTACGCTTTTACAATACATAAACGTTTACTGTAGCACAAGAAAATCTTACGACCATTTTATATTACTGTTGTCACTCGTTACCGGACCTAACTAGCCTCATCTAAATCCACCGATTAATTAAAACGGTAGTATAAGCTACAGTGAAGATTATTATCCAATTTGGTAAAATTAAATGTAGCTACGCATTATCTGTTAATATTTAGTTGTGCGCGTTAGCATGCGGTTGTGGGAGGCGACGGTCATACAGCAGACTTATCTTTAAGGAGAACTCAATCACAAAACGTTTCGGAGCCTTTTGTCCAGAGTGTGTGCGTCCAGTTATAAACTGAAAAAGGCACTGAAAAATTTTGCGGAAAGGCACTGAAAAATTCGAGTTCAAAGTTATATCGATTATAGCGTTAACTTTCGGAACAAGATCCGTAAATTTAGATCCCGTAAGACGCTGCATGGCCGCATGCCTATTGCCGAATATTGCAATTCAATTTATTGTAAGTATGCAATTTGATTCAGAACATGCATACAAATTCTGAAATGTCGAAATGAGACACAGTCATATAGAATTAATTCTAAATGTATCAAAAGAGTGTTAAGAGCAATCCAGTCTTGTGCCATCCCAATGTGGTACAAAGCCTGCCGGAAATTCGTAGGCTTCGTCATCAACAGTTTTGAAATTCCAACGACCAAACCTCGTACCGTAATATGGAGACAAATGAATTTAGTCCTCTTTATCCTCATTAAAAGGATGTTTTTCCTTTAAGGAAGAAGTCTTCGTGCGTGTGTATATAATTTTTCCTGAATATTTGTTCCGTAAAACTTGGCTACACTTTTTGACCTGGGTTTCGTTGCATAGCAAATTACATTTTTTTGAAGCAGTGTTAACGTGGTCGAGACACGTTAACACTTGAAAACAGAGATGGCCAAAATCTAAAATTCTATCCCATTATTATTATGAATTATGAATAATGAATAATTTATAATAATTAATTATGAATTATCATTCCCATTATTATCGTGAGAAATATTTTCATAAACCATGCTTTGAAAAGTGATGCACAATTGAATTGTCTACTCTGATGATAATTTTAAAAGATCTTGTTTGAAATCACGAGAAGTCAAAATTTACTGAAAAGTTAACCTTATAAGCTTCTAACCGCGTTAAATTTATCATTCCGACATCATAATAAATAACCTAACCTAATCGGAGAAATAAAGAGTATGTAACATTTTTGTGCATTTGAAAGTTTGCCGATAATCCCGTTGCCAATCACGATAAATGTATAAATAAACACGAATTCGTATATTTTATTCATGCAGGAGAGAAATTCCATGGTTTGATTCTTTCCATTTGCAGTTCTTTATGGCAAAGCGTCAATGAATGCTGAATAAACACATTTTAGTCTGTAAGAAGCTCATTGCAATAGAAAATTTATTTCTTCTTTTGATAGATTTCACATGCAATGGATGAATAGATTTTGAAAGATTCCGTTATAAAAATCCTATTGTAGTTTCTTTAATCGCATCAAAAACTACATACTTTACGAAGATTGTGTTAAAATTTGGAACATTCAGCGCATTTTATCCAAGATGGAAGAAAGAAGAAAAAACATGTTCCTAAAAAGATGAGAATAACACCTGTAATTACTATTCGTATCGTATGGCATTATCGTTCTCCAAAGGGACCAATGAATCAAAAAGATACCAGCCCAATAACCCTAAAATTTTATCACAATTTTTTTATCTCGTATATTATCTCAAAATTCGAAAGAAAATGCGAGCCCAAAATAACCGAAAGTTTTATCAAAATGTATTCTTTCGGGTACAATAGCAGTTGACCTGAAAGATCTATTATTTTACAGTGAATTGTCGTTACTTAGCAGAATGATTTGATGAAAAATAAATAATGAATAGTTTTCTACAATATTGACGCAACCAAGGTTGAAATCTGCTAAAGAAAGCGTGGAGTCTCTACCATGTAAATATTGACCCAAGTCAATAAAGTTCAAGGGATTTGGCTGCTTAATAAATTAAAGAAGATATTCTCGTATCGTCATGAAACTGACGATCTTCGAAGACATAGCAAGCGACAAAGTTCCAACACGTAAAATGTACCCTGTGGAGGCAAAAAATGCATGGGGTATTATGTTGTCCGTGGCTCGTATTGTAGGAAGTGAAGATCGTAAATGTGTTTTTTTACCATCTAAATGATATTCGAAGCAGACACACAGGAAAACCGAACGCAAATTTTAGCCCATTAAGTGAATCAATTTCTGCGAGCAAAAAATGAAAGCAGGGTCTCTGTCAACAGGGCCTCTGTTAGGGCCTCTGTCAACGTCTGAATAAGAGAATTATAATATTTTGGAAATTCGAAAATAAATTTTGAAATTTTATCCTAAGAATGTAGATTTGTCATCCAAAATTGTTCGTTTATTCTTGATGCCAATTCAGCGTTGTTCCTGTCAGACTTATGTTTTGATAACATTCTTGTGCGAGGTGCGAGTTTTTTTTACAATACAGTAAAATAAATCAATACAATACAGTAACGAAATAAAAAAAAAACGTGAAGTAAATTTGATCATACGTGGATACTTTGACTCAAAGTTTTTGATGATTTTGTGTGGTTTAGTTCCAAATTAATTTGGACAAAGTTTTTTTTTGTCCACAAAGGTTTTTTGTGTGTTTTTTACTTCTAAATGAATAGGAACCAAGCCTGCTAATGTGCAATTTCTGTTCATTTTTTAAAAGTTTTCTTGTATTTCCAACGAATTTAGGCAGCCTGCGATGGCTACCAAAAGTAGCCTAAATTAATCAGATCATCAGACTAAGATGACTAGATGATGCCCAAGGTGAGATCGTGCCGTGATCAGCAATGAAGTTTCCTCAAGGGAAGGAAGGCGCCGCTACCAACTGTTTTTGCTCGCCTTTCCTTCCTCGTGGCAAAAGCGACGCGCGATCGCGTGGCGCTGACGCCGCGGTCAGCCGTGTACCGCCCGTCGGACGGTGCACACGGCCCTTACGACTGTTGTGACTCGTTAAAGTTTTATTGAATTATCAATTTAAACGACGAAAATTGCAAATAAAGGAGTGGATTTGTTTTTTACGACCGTTTTGACTTATTAACGCTTCATCGAATTATCAATTTACACGACAAAAATTGCGAATAACGGAGTGTATTTGTTTTTTTTTTTACGACCGTTGTGACTTGTTAACGTTTCATCGAATTATCAATTTAAACGACGGAAATTGCGTATTAAGGTGTGGATTTGTTCCGACGAACAATTAAATTTGATGAAAAAAATTAGCAACTTGAAATTTCGTGGTTCGAGCAGCTTGGCTGAGTTCGAGTATAATTAATTTTATTGAAATTTTTTTGAATAATTTATTTTTAGGTGAATTCATTCAAAAAGTTGCATGAATCATCCGTGAAATGTCTGACTCCCAATAACAAAACTGATTTGAGTGACATCTGGCCACTTAAATTTTCGTTCAGCACCACCGTCAGAAGATGAGTACGCGAGATCGAATTCATGATATACCTCATGGCTCGAAAATAGTAATACGAATTATTAAGAAATTCTTTGTGTATGGAAACAGATGCTGGTGATGACCCGATGATCTGGAGGTGAGCGAGTGATTAAAATCACTTGGATTGGGTTTGCGAGATGTGGGTTCGAGACGCGCATATAAAAATAAAAACTCTTATATCTGAATCTGCGACAGCCCCTAAATGACCTGATCTAGGTTGGCGCCATTACATTATTTCTATTATAATAAAGATTTTAGCGAGACATGCAGCCTACGAATTTTCACCTAACAGGAACTCACAACGATGCTATGACAGTTGACGCGAGAAATTAAAACATTTTGATGCAATGAATTAATGCTCTGGTAAGTTGAGAAGATATTTCAATAAACCAGCAAAGGCTGCATGTTATTCACTAGTAACAGACGTTACTGGACTTTCATCATAACACGAGTGAGGCGCAATGGATTGAACATGAACATGTGTCAAAAAGGCTACGCAACAGCGATGTTGCTTTGTTTCACTGCCAAAGACACGTCACTGTTGCGCAGTTTAAATGGCCAGCTCGACATGTTTGTCTGCGATGGAAAAATAAATTTTCAACAGAAGCCCTCTTGAGATCCGGAAAATAGAACCGCAATTTCTCAAACCGTTTTAAAAAAACGCCGACAATCGTTGATAGGACCTCAGACCTTGTACATCAACGAGCAAGGATAAATTCCTTATTAATTCAAAGCAAAGCAAAATAATCACGAGGCACTCAAGAATCTTCGTTCAAAAATAACGATAATTGTTTAAAATGAATTGAAACTTGTACCAGGTTGCTTCCACTGAATTTAATTAGAAAAATAACTAGGGAACGCTGTGATCCATAGATGATACAAAACTACTTTTAAAATTGTTTTCGATTAAAATGTACGTAATTTTTATCGTGGTTAGATTAATGTTAGTTTTGGTCCTGCTTTCAGTTTCCAAAATAAAGTCTAAACTCGCAGCATTTCAATATGTTTGTCACCGGCTAACTTGGGATAGATGTATTTAAAATCATGTCCACGCGGAAGCAAATTTTTCGTGCATTGGTGGAACCATCCAATCTAATTTTCGCTTTTGGAACTTCCTCATGGTGTATTTCCTGTACAAAAAATCGGAAGCACTAAATAAGCTCTTAACAATTTTGAAATTTCTTTTGGTAATCTTTTATAATTATAAATGTATTCTTCCGGAATTCAGGTGAAAGAAATTTTGAACAGAAAAGCCAGTTTGTGTACTAAAAAATTTTCTTTAGTTATAGAAAAAATTTCTTTTTCAATGGATAACTTTTTTAATTTCTAGCAATTTCTAGTCTGCAACCTAAGAGGAAACTTAGCTTACAATATTCAACTAAGCTTGTGACAGACCGTGTCCTAGTTTGCATAATTTCACCCCAAAGTTACGTCTTCATTTGGTCTGGTCTAGATGAATGTCGTTGAACTGTCTCGCTCTCACGATCTTGATCATGCTTAACTTAACGTCTATGGAATATAGAGTTTGTATGAAATACCCAATTTAGATTATCACATCTCATAGATTACATTCACTGAGGCCTCTCACATGTGTGTTCATCCTTGCGAATAATCAAAGAAGAGATGAAAGACTTTTGAGACTATTTTTAAGACTATTTAGTGGTGAAAAATAACTCGTTTGCGTCATAACTCAATTCTACCCTAAAAGCCAAGCATCCCAATTTTTCAATATCTGTACTGTCAGTATTTAGGGGGGTTTGAGTCAGTCATAGCCAAATTTCAAGATTGTTTTATCCATTAATTGAACTTGATACATTCGAGGGGGATGCTAGGCACAAATTGTGCACATAGTTCTTTACCAACATACCTGCAATTTCTGAGATTTCCGTATAAATTTTATTCCCGAAAAAAGCAATTTCCATTTTTAAATTTAATCTCATATACGTGAAATGCGTCGAGGTGCTTGCTTGGCTTTTTCTTTCTGATTAATGATTTTAATATAACTCGAGTCGAATTTTCGTATATTTATTTTAGTAAAACTTTTCATATAATATAGTATGCGTCGAAATCGTAATTACTAGTGATTAAGGCTGAAATGTAAATTATCTATGTTCATTACAGGGAAGAAATTGTAAAAAATTTATACAAGGACAAGTGCAATTAGTTCTGGAAGCACGACGAACGACTTTGATACTTGTCTGGCTTGCAGATTGTAGGACACATGGTTGAATTAATACATTCAACCATGGTAGGACATATGCGCCTATAAATAAATAAGGTTGAGTTTATTCCACTGTATCTCAGCTAGATGTTCCAAGACTGTTGAGCAAGCACATGAAAAAAATACTGCATGAAATATTAGACTATATATATTATGCTTATTTAGGAAAAATTGGAATCACTCCTTGTTACGCTTTGTTCACTTGTAAAAAAAATATTGGAAGAACGAAACTGTACGTGTGCATCTATATATACTTTTCAACATTTGCCGATGGTTATATTTTGAAATGGTATTCAAATTTGGACCAAATATCTATAATTTATTATGAAAATAAAGCCGTCATAAAATTACAAGCGCCAAAGATTATGAAGCTGCAACACCAAAATCTTGAACATAATTTCTTCCTCCCATTGACAATTATCAACTTATTGATAGATAAAGATGTATGTCAATTTTATGGTGATACCATCGTGTGCACTAGTCTACTATAATGCGTCTGGGCGGTTAAAACAAAACAAGTTCTGCCGGTGCAATTGATTAACTAATCCAATCAGCAGAGCTGTTTTCTTCCCGATTTAAAATATCTTTTGAGGAGCTGAAATAGCTCACAGAAACAAACAGAAATGACATATTCGATAAAATTTGTGGGTAATATATTCTACAAACTCGGCTCAGACAGAAATTTAATAAATACAAATTCGAAACACAGAATTCGAGAACATCGAATCAAAAATTGTCACCTTAACATTCCGCTCACTATACCCTATCTCAAGCGTTTAAGCGAGCAGGAACATTTTTTTTAAATGTTCCCTGAAATGTTCAAATTTTTTTTGAAAAGCCGAGTGCTATTGGAAGTACAGCACGAAATGCATTCTTCGATTTGGCATGCATTATCTAGGATAGTTTAAGTATACACACTGAATCAAGACANAGCCTACATGGTTTTGAATAATCTTATTTGATCAAAATCAAAAACCGTTTTTTCGTCCGTAAGCATTTGAAAATAACATCAAAAATACGGCCTAGCCTTGACCTCTGCCGTAAATAAATTCGAAATGAAACCTTCCTAGACACTAACGAATGTTTTTTAAAGGAAGTTAGATTAGACCGTGAATATTGCTGGTGTCAGCTAATTACAAATTTATGCTAGTCATTAATGAAATTTTGTAGGCTCCCATTAAATGTCTCCTGATATTTTTTTAGTCCAAGACCATGTATAGCAATTGTTTTTCATATAAATTTAGGCGAAGCTTCTTGAATGCCATAGTGCAACATTTTTTTTGTCGTGCAAATGCGTATTTGTTATGGCAAATAACAGCTGGTTACCTCATTATTACCTGTCAAATGGTAATGATACATAACGAGTCTAAGGTGGTTCGCAATACTAAATGGCTTGAATAACTTCCAAGACATAACAGCAAGTACGTACTAGGTTTAGAATGAAAGAAAAAAATGCAGATACCTCAAGAAACGCTAAGAAAGTTTGTACAATGTACACGGAGTAGATACGTTCTAAACTGGCGATTTAATGGACATCAAGCCAGCGTTTTGATGTTGCATGAAGTATGATGACGATCTGGGCTGCTGCAGCTGGCCGTTCTGCTGCCCAAAGAACTCGACGTTGAATGTTCCACTGTTGGCAGAAGAAATGAACACTTAAGTCAAAAATTAAATTTCATGCGCACATGTGTTTTATAGTTTCAAGAATTTCCCGTGTTCTTAAGCTATTATATTATTAAACATTCGACTAAAGTAAGAAAAATCCACAATTGCAATTTATCTCACTTGTATAGGTTTGATGGAATTATTTCTGAAGACCAAGCACCAGGATCTGGCTTGATGTTTCCAGAATTCCAAAATCTAGAGTTATCTTGGTTAAAGCTCGCGGAAGAAGACGCCGAAATATTTTGTTGTTGTGTTGACTGCTGGGTCTCGTGCTTCTGTTGGTTTTGCAACAGCTGCTGCAATGGATGTTGTTGTTCACCTGTGGCAACTGACTCAGTAACTGACGATGATCTTAATCCACCCTGAGACTGCGACACGCCAGATGACTGAGAACCCGAGAAATCACCGGGTCCTGTCAACTGATCAGCTGACGTCTTCGAGTCCCTTTGGTGCGCATTAAAATACTGCTCAGCGTATTGCCTGTGGGCCTCAGAGTACGCTGGATACTTTGTCACATCCCACGCAGAAGGGAAGTGTTGCTGCAGTTGCTGAAGTTGTTGTTGGTTTCCATAGCTGGTGTCGCCGAACTGGTAGCCGGTCGTTGAGAGATGCGGATAGGCAAGGCTTGAGTTGAACCCAAGAGCATCGTTAGGCTGCCTGTACCAGTACGCGGCTGCCGGCGTATATGTAAACACATTAACACTTCAGAAGACAAAAAGTTTTTGAGAAAATTGAAGGAAAAACGGGTAGAAATATTAGGTTTATATCTAAGAATTTTCAACGTCGATTAGAAGATGTATCTTTTTTACAATTTAGGGTCTTCGCTCATCAATAAATTTGATAGCATGAAAGTTCACCAAAAACTATTACAAACTCCCAAATTATTGTGAAAGTACAAGAATTTTACCATATTGGAACAGGTATGTTGGAGCAAAAAGAACTCAATGCAAGAAAGTATATTCTTCTCACCTTGGTTGGGAGCCTGCAGCCCAGGATGGACATATTGAGGACTGAGCGTTGCGTCTTCACCAGAAGAATTTAACGAATCTTCTTTCTTGACGGGCGTGGTTTCAGACGTCGGTTGCAAACCATTGCTGTAGTTCCTGAAAGCTGTCGTATGGATCGACATGCTCGGGTCCACTTGCATTAAGGAGCTCCGAGGACAACCTTGAGAACTTTCTTCCATTTGACCTTCGACTCGCATTGCTGACCCATCTGAAGGTGCAGTCGCCTTCCTCTGACGCGCTCGTCGATTGCTGAACCAAACCTATTACGAAAATTTCATTGCTTTATTAATGTTTATTTCGTTATTTCTGCTTGGAAGCATTATTGGCTTCAATTATCCTCTAAATGTATTGATAAAATAATGAAAGAGTAACGCCATAGGGAGAAAAAATTTAGCCAGCGTTAAGTTAATATTTCAGTCAGTTGAAATTGGAGAAGTGAAATCAGGCATCTCTGACCATTACCATTTCTACTATCAAACTGCCATCCATTATCTTGTATTAAATTGTTAATATCAAGTTATTCTTAAGCCCTACATCACCCTGGGCCTCGGTTTATCTATAAATACGAACTACTTCCAGGTTTAACAACATGAAAGTCATTTTTTCTAATGGGACAATTATTTCATATATAATCGTATCAAATTATCAAATGATTTCATTCTCAAGAGTCAACAAGTTGCAGGCGCGGGAGTCTTACCTGAACCCGCGCTTCAGTGAGACCCGTCTGCTCTGCCAGAGCTTCCCTCGTGTGCACGTCTGGGTATTGGTTGATCAGGAACTCCTTCTCGAACGTCTGCAGCTGCACGCTGGTGAAGGTGGTGCGCGAGCGCCGCTGCTTCCTCTTCAGTACGACGCCAATGCCGGGGTCTTCGTCGCTCTCGTCTCCTGACGAATTCATGACTGAATGTCACAACAAAGGGTAAAGATTAAAATCCTAGATTGCCTTTAATATTCAATTTAAACTGTATGTATGGTCACATGTTTACTAACGCTTCAGCTATTTAGCTATCTCGAAAAGAAAGTCAAGGGTAACATCATCAATGATGTGGAATGTCTCAATTATCTGGTTTCTTGAATTATCAGTGTTTTCAGTGAAAACTTTGAGAAGAAGGGCAAACTTAATACAAAAAACTACATTTTATGAACATATCCGAAACCTCAGGCGAGCCTTTGGACCCCAAGGATGTATCCCTGAGGAATATTGGCCTTTTCCTTAAGGACCCTTTAATACACAACGTACAAGCACATCGGCAAACCCGATGGCCTTAATACTAGAGTAAGAACAAATAACAAGTGTTTCAAGGTGTGAGTGACCAAATATATAGGATCTTCGACGCAAAAAAAAAAAAACAACTAAATATATATGATATTCGTTCATCATACACCAGGGACAGAAGGTCTCATTCAAGTGTCCAGCCCGTTGAAACTGGCTGGAAAGAAGCAGCGTAAGCATCTCAAAGAGACGAAGTGATAAAACGGGACAGGTGAGTTGCAACAGAAACGAAGATGTGACGACCACTTACACGGGACGTCGACCGCCCGGACGAGAGTGGCGGAGAAGGAAAATGCCAGGTATCCTGGCTACATAATAACTTAACCCCACAACTGAGACCTGCAGGCCTTCACCGCGAGCTTAGAGGTGGGGCGCTCAGGAACAACATAATAACTTAACCCCACACTGAGACCTCAGCCCTTCACCGCGAGCTTAGAGGTGGGGCGCTCAAGAACAATGCCCCTATAGGAACGCGAAATCCCATCGGACTTCTAACGACTTTAGACACACGTTAGATGACATCCTGAAAGGATCTTTACTTCCTAGATTAAATGACGAATGAAAAAATGTAACATTAGCTTTTTATATTTATTTGATTTTACGAAAAATGATAGAAAAGAAGAATATTGTTTCAGATGGTCAGTTATATGTGTGACCAAAAATAATGACAAAAAATTGCCTATTTTATCTTTTCAACTGCATCATTATACCACTAACAAAGGTGAACAGAAAGTAAAATCTGAATAAAAACGTAAAGTTTTGTCCTCCACAGAGATCACAATTCTTGTTGTCCGAGACGCGGTCTAGCATGGCTACAGTTTGCGCAGCTCATTTCATTGTGATCCTCAACAAGAGAGCGGCGAAGCATCGATCAACAGCTCCTCCACGCCTCATAATCAAGCTTGAGACAAATATTGATTGAGTGATACAACTCCCATCAAGAGAAACGAAGTTTGAGTTACGAGCCGCCTCTACTGTGATGACCATCATCATGCAGCTGAACTTAAAAGCTGGTACGGTGATGAGGGTTCATACCAGTGAACGAATGTTCGCAAAGCGAAAACAATGACAGCCTCCGCAATAACCATAAGCGTGAAGATTCTGAAACTTCTCGCATTAGCAAGTATGATCGCCTACAGCTGCTTGTTGTACTTCAGAAGCTAATCAGTCTTTTAAACGAGCGCTTGAGAGCCGTGAAATGATTTGATGGCCGAGCAAGAGTTTCTTTGAGAGCGCCTAACGACATGGCGCGTAGCCACCCTTGGTTAGAGGTCACAATTCAAGACGGCATCTTGCTATCAAATTCGTTTTCAAGGACTGAAACAATGGCAAATCAATGGCGTCAAAAAATGGCGTGAAATAACGTCATTGTTAATTTTAACTGGATTCACGATCCAGTTAAATGAAATGAAATTCTTTCCACTTCGTTCTCAAAATTAAATTCTTCCTTAATAAGTTCTGGTAGTATATTTATTTTTGCTCGCAAAACACTGATAAAACTCGACCAATATTTAAACCGGTGATCCTTATGTGCTTCAGTATTTGTTTTCACTTTGTTTACTAATGCATATGATAAAACTTTAATATTTTGTTAACTCTGCGGTCAGCTTAAGCCGTGCTAAACTCTTCACATTTATAGACGATTTATAAAATTTATTAAATGGATGAATGTCTTTCATAGAACCAAAACCAAAATATAACATCAACACCTGCATTCCGCACGACTGTCATGTACCATCGAAATCTATTTCCCAACTTTACTCTCATCCAAAGATGCTGAGATTAATTTATCAGGAGACAGAATGCTGCTCCTGCCAGTCAGCAACTTGTGAGCAGCCACTGCTGCTCCATAAAATTCGCAAACGCGCTAGGCAATTTTTATGCGAGACCCCAGACTTTTGCGGACGCGAGTACCGGCTTTAAAGAAGCAGTTTTTCGATCGAAAGGTGGCCATGGCTCGATATTCTAAAGAGCTTTCCCAAGTGTTCTACTAATGGACTGCGACCATGTACGCGGTTGCTCTTCAAACAAGGCAGAGCGACGTAGGAAAACGTGCGTGACTCGCAAAAGACGACGGACGAAGAGATTCGCGAATCGGTGCCGGACGAGCATGCGGATATTCCCCACAAGTGGAGCAGCGGAATAGCGGATCTACAAACAGAGCAAGCTGGAAACGTCGATGATCTTAAAAAATTGCTGATCTTGAAGCAAAACAGACGGAAGGCAAAGATATTATTAATCACAGTGAAGAATAGCGAATCTACAAGCAGAACTGGTAGAAGCTTCTATAGTCAAAGCAGGGAACAAAAAAAAACAAGCAAAACAGAAATAAAACTAATTAATAACGAATAAACCCCCCAATTAGAACAGATGGACAATTTCTATACTCCCATCTATAGGATGAAAGTCATCGAGACATTTTTTAGGATTTCGTATTAGAATTTTATTGATATGCAAGCTTCTACGAATTACTCAGCGATCAGGCTTGTCAAAGTGAAACTTAAAATGTGAGTTTCGTCAGGTTTCAATCTCAGTCACTTAGAAAGAAGCAACTGCACGATAAAGAAAAATCAGTTATGCTCGTTTCGTTTTAGAAGCCGGGGGCGCCAAGTACAACACATCAAATTCAAGTCTATTGCGATAAGTCATACAGATTCCCTACTCATTTTTAACTTTAAATTAGAGCAAAAGCTACAATTATGCGATGTAGTGGTAGGGAGTTGAGGCAATGGCAATTTCCTCCAATCAAGCAATTTTTATTTATTCAATTAAGTGAAATGACGTACAAGTATAGTACAATCGTTCAACTCTTGTTTATTTGGTGCAGTCTATGCACCAAATATAATGATGTCGGTGGCAGAAGACTAAATAAAATTTGGTGAAGATGACTAGTTGTGTGCAAGCACAAAAAAACATTAGCGATAAATAGATTAATGAAAAGCAGATACAGAATAATATCGATAATTGCATATCATAATGTCAGCCATTCACATTCATCGACAGCGTCATCAAGGACATTTTCGCTTTTATTTTAATTTGAAGATATTGCAATGAAATCAATCACAAGAGATTTCTCATAATAAGAAATAAAGTAAACTCCAATTATTCATGCTTAATTTTTAATTACAAATGGCGGCACAAATGAACGACTAATTTCTGTGATAATTTCATTGAACGAAGTTGGGACTGCGAACGAAATGTTTAATAGCTCGTGTAGCTGGTGTAAGCGATGCATCTCGTCCTGCTGAACTGTAATAAAAAATGCGGAGTCACAAGAAAGTCGCTCGTCAGACAAGATTTCGCACTTTCGAACGTCGATTTTCAGTCCAGGTTTCTCATTTAGGTCTTTCTCGATCACCAAACATTTCTCGCGCAACGATTTTTACGTAAAACTTTTTAACTAGATAATTTTTGTGGATCGCATGGAACTTAGTTTCCCGAAGTCCAGTTTACCGCACACTTTCCAGCAGAGGAAACAGATAAAATGACTTTGTCTGTAGCAGTGATAGAGGCCGAACTGTTGGGAACGATCTCCTTGAAACGGTTCTAAAAATTTGTGCGATTCTTTAAGCCAAATAAATTTTTCTTGATAAAACTGAACGATACGGTATCGTTGTCTTCATACTTTTTACAATTATTATATGCAGATCAAATTGGCGCAGTTTTGCTCAAGCAACATTCGTAGGGACTTCATTACTCAAAACGCGGATCTCTTATGAGATACAAACCCTTATGAGAAGTATGTCAGGGTACTGATATTAATCATTTGATACATTTTCTTGCTATGCTATTGGTAAAGTTTTTATTAAGATAGACCAAAGTATGAAATTAATTTATTGATAATACAAATGAATAAATAAAGCGAATTGTAATGATCGATTGCATATTTTTGTAAGGTAAGAGAACCTCTTAGAAATGAAATTATTTTATGGAAGATGGATGGATACCTGGGAAACTTCAACAGCTACTTTGATTTATTGATTTATTAAAGCTTTCCTGTCCCTTGTCTTCAATTGAAGAAAATATAATCATTTTTTCTAAACGTTCTTTTCAGAACGTGGGCAAAAAAAAAATACAAATTAACATGGGGACTGGATTTGGCTTTTGCTATTTCTGTATTGACTGGTGTGATGAAATTCTTTTCGATAGCTTTAAAATGTAGTAACTTGTGAATAATGCGGCTCACCTTTACTGTCATTTTTTATTAGTTTGGTGCTCCTTAAAACCCTACGAAATTTGTCATATAAGGATTCAATTAAACGAAAGATTGATTGAATTTTAACTGATTGTTGGATATTATTAACTGATTAGTTAATCGATTGAATATTTTTAATGAAAAGATTTCACGAACCCGGTTTACATAAATAGCAATTTGTGGACTAAAACGCATTTTAAATGTACGAGTTTACTAATTTTTTCCATTTATTGCTACATTGTGAGGCACAGAATTCTACTTGAGCAATCTTCCTAAAACCGTGTTAGCAAGAAGGCTATAAACAAAAGAGTTCTAAGGAGACTTAACCTTGTTAACTTCGCTCCATGACCTTGGGATGTTAAGGGTTAATCAGTACCAGAAGTAGAAGATAAAGGCATAGCACAGAATTGAGACCAAGTGACAAGAAGATTAGGAACAATCATACTGAAATTTCGGAAAGTTTTGACCGACGTAAAAAGTTGATTGACCCGTTTAAGAAATGATCAGCAGGTTTCTCCTAGTTTGTGTTAGAAGAAATCGAATCACGACATTCTTATATCTATGGTTAACCACAAACTGATCTTGGTCTGCGGGCTGCCGGCCAAAGCCTCTGGAGGAAACTGGGGGCGAGACAAAGCTTACCACGCACACCTCAAGACAAAAAGTTCGACCGCGCTGGACCGCGTTGAGAGCCTCCTCATTGATTGCCCAGTGACACGGACACAAGTTTTACAGCTTCGCGGTTTGTCATCTAAATTATAGAAGCGATTCTACTAGCTTTATGCACAAATTGAGAAATCGCTGGAGCATACCTCGCATTTATACTCTAAGTGCGTTAATTATCAGCATGCATTGGACTTGAGATAGGCATCAAACCTGATTGGATATCTAAACATACAAATTGAGAAGTGATTCTACTACTACTAGCTTTATGCACAAATTGAGAAATCGCTGGAGCATACCTCGCATTTATACTCCAAGTGCGTTAATTATCAGCATGCATTGGACTTGCGATAGGCATCAAACCTGATTGGATATTTAAACATACAAATCGGATAAGTGAGTAAGAAGTTGCTTGAATAAGCACACTTACCGCCATTGAGATCTTCTCCTCGCATCACACGCGCTATGACGTGCAAGGGCGGAGGTTCCGAGTTGGCTCCCATCTCCTTCAGAATAAAAAAATTGACTATTTCAGTGGCAATTTCAAATTAAAAATTTGTCGACGCGTTTGTGAAATTTGAAATCATTTGTGAAAGGTTTTTATTAACGCTACAATTATCAGTTATACTAACATTGGTAAAATGTTGGTAAATATGTATTGGGATATATATATTTCAGCTTTTCTGGTTCAAAACAACTCTAGGTATTAATATAGTGGAATAATGACCACAGTGAGCCACAATCACTAATTCCCACGTACGATTAAAAGCAGGATGACATGATTAAATATCATCTGAAGAAACAAATTTATCAAATAAACGACAATTATTCTGGAGGGAAAACACAATCTCTCAGAAATGTCATCACAATTCTCTATCATAAACTTCCAAAAACAATTTTAGCATGTAACACGCTAGACTTACATGCGTTAGGCGATCGCGGACGTGTTGCGGAGTGATGCCAGGCACGTCGTTGGCGAAAGCCTTGATCCTATTGACGATTTCTTTACTGACGCGCATGCTCGTCTTGTTGCTGGCCCCAATGACCCCAGGTCTGATGGATCCCGTCTCTTGGTATCTATTGAGTATCTTTGATACGCACCCGTGCGAGACTTTAAGCGTGCGCGAGATGATGCACGGCCGCATGCCGTTCGCCGCCAGGTGGATAATTTCGCGCCGAACAGCAGCAGGCAGCGGTCGGCCGTTGACAAACACCCCTCCCAGCTGGTTGACTTTGCCTTGGGCTGTCAGATCAAACAAAACTGTTATGATGAAGGAATCAAACTAAAATGTTACGTTAATATATTGAGCATGAATGCTTCGTTGAATTAAGTTAAGCAAATTAAAAAAAATATTCAGTTATTGAATTGATCGAAATGGGAAACTGAATAAATTTATAAAAATGTTTAACTAAGCAAGCTTATGAAAATTTCCTGAAGAATAAATTATTACAAATGTTGAGTTGAATAAATAGAAGAAATATATTCAGCTTTATATATTTTAGGAAAAAGTTTCAGTTCAATACTTTTTATGAAAAATGTTCGGCTGAATGCATTAATTAAGAATGGTCCAGTTTGATAAAATTTTTCGTTAAGCAAATTCACCAAAATATTCTGTTGAAAAAATTCTTGAAATTTTTGACTGAATCAATTTAAAAAAATTTTCAGCTGAATTGTTTTTAAAAAATCTTCAGCTGAATTATTTTAATACATTTTTTAGCTGAATACATTTTTGAAAAATCTGTAGCTGAATACATTTTTAAAAATGTTCAGATTAATAAATAAAAAAGGTTCAGCTGAATAAACTTGTAATAATTTTCAGCTGGGAAAATTGTACCAAAATATTTAGATGGATAAATTGCGCCAAAATCTTTAGCTCGGTAATTTGCACAAATGAAAATGTTCGGTTGAAAAAAAGAACACAAAAAATAATACAAATTTTCTGGATGGAAAACTGAAATTCGTCCTCTACAATAAGCAGAAAGTGTCAGATTATATTATTTCAGGTTAGCAAGTATAGCCTCTGCTGCCAACGACAAACTTGGTGTTCTTTAAAATAAATTAAAAGTCCTATCTACATGAATCTGAATACAAATCATGTTCCACATCTCCGGATGGGTTTTGAACTCCTCAAGCCCTTGTATTAATTTGGCAAACGCCCCACGACGTAGAACGATGCAGCGGTCTGCAGAAATTACCTAACCGCTCCTGAACAAATTTGAATTTCGAAATCATAATAGTGTAGGAAAAATGGATTTAAATGTGCAGCAATTACATTGCAAAATCGTGAATTAAATTGCAAATAGAAATGACTAATTTTGTAGATCCTTGACTATGAGTTACTTGTCAGCAATTAAAAAAAAACAGATTCGGTGAAATAATGTTAAATGGTTTTAGCACCAAGAAGGCAATAACTAATGCGGTAAACTTCAAGTGCTTAACTTACGAAGTTAATTCGTGAGTCAACCACATTTCAGCATTGAGCTACTAAAGTCACTATTTCCGGAAGGAAATTTGGGGATTTCAACTACTTGTGTCATTAATTGAAATGACTAATTAGCCTAAAAATGATAAATCTCCTGCACCAAATTTTGTGCGTTCAACAAGTACTTTGATTCTATCTACACGGCACGTCCAAGATAATACAACAAATGTGTTGAGTAAAAATAAGCAAATTACCTTGGGTATCCATTTCCTCATCTAATGGAATCAATGGACTTGTTGCGTCTTGATATGCGAAGTTGCTCATCTCAGTGTCTCCAGGCGGTCAAATTCTGGGTTGCGTGTATCACAACAACACACACCCACAGACAATCTTACGCTTGGCTAACCTTGCGTTTCTTTTTAAAGCCAAAGATGTGTACAGACACGGGATGACTCAAGTACTGGACGCGTGCTCTTTGTCACGTGCTATATAGACATCTGTAGTAACGTAGGCGGAGCTTGTGGGACATGCCCGACCAATTAGCAAGTCGTCCTGAAGATTAATTCGTTGTTTAGGCGGAAATATTTGGTGCTCTGTAAGATTTCGAGATTGGTTAGCAATTTTTTTGAAAAATGCGCAACGAATAGGTGAACTTTGATGGTTTTCAGATCATTCTAGACGATTTTACGATCTCAATGTCTTTTTTTTGTTAATGATTTTAATTATGTGTTCAATTTTATAACTTTACTCTAAATCTAATAATTGGAAATGAGAACAGCAAATAATTAATCAAAACTGGTATTTAACATTTAATAATTGGGACAATCAGAAAAGGATTTACTGAAAAGGATAAAGGTATGTGGTAACTGTAGAGTTATTCAGACCATGAGCATTATTTAAAACCTGCAAACTTTTTGCACACTAAATCTTTGTGGGAGTCTAAATATAGATTTTTATACCCGTCCTGACTTAAAAACTACCAAAAGGATTTCCTTAAGAGTTTTTCATTTCTCAATTTCAATTGGAGTTTAAACCAAAAATTCTACTTCCATGCATTGAGCTTACTTACCCTAATTATCCTTTTCACCTTCGTTTAAACTCTTCAAAATATGAAACCGGTGCTTTCTCTCTTAAATTAACGGAAGGAAAGTATTTTCATGGAAAATGTGTTAGAGCAAACTCATTTTTCTACAGTAGATAAAAATCATTTCAAGAAAAGTGCACATAAGGGCATAGTTTCGTTGAAATCTTCAAATAAAACACGAAAGAACTGAATTCTTCCCAAGATTACAATGCATTAGCGTAAATTGCTTGCTAACGGCGAGTCTTAAGATCGCAAATCTACCTCAGCATACTCCAGAACACACCTACAGTATACTACATTGAAGGTTCCGCTAGGACAATTATAGTTAGTTTCGTTCCGCAAAGTTTGAATACTGCAACGTCAGAGTTGCGTCATCTTCAAAATCAGTATGCTATAGAAAACAAAATCACATTCAAGTTTTTTTGGGACAAAATTAATCATGACTGCTGTGGAGAAGATAAATACCAAAACTTGATACATAGACCATAAAAAATGAAACGGCAAAATCGAGAGCAGATAATCAATTCATATAATTTAATTGAATGAAATAAAAAGGCATCATAAATAGAGACAAACATTGATTTGAAATAGAATAAGCAATAAAGCAACGTGGATTGTATGGTTATGGTAATCATTGGTATCATTACTGAATTAGTTAATGTCAAGGCTGTTAAATAGCACTCGTATAAGCACGATCAAGCTGTCATTCCACAGAGTCCCACGCTCTGACCTTGTTCATGCTGAACAATAATTTATCAAGATACAATAAATGTGTCACCAATCGGCCACGGCATCGGCCAGAGCCTCCCATTGCGGTTCAATTCGATTCCTTGAAACAATCATTTAGACACGCACGCCAGAAACAGTGTGGATTTTGGTGAAAATGCCTTCACATTGAGGTGAAGCGCGACAGGTAAGTTTTCAGTGGTAAACTCATTGACTGATGATCGTACGATTTGCCATGAACAATTGTAAGGATTATGATAAAAAAATATGGGTTCCTTGGACGGATATCATTCATCGATGAAGATCACGCCGGTCATTCCTCGATCAGTAGATTTCTTTTTCTGCGAACAGGACTGCGAGCTAACAGAGAACAACTGGGAATTGTAAAAGTCGTTAATGACAAACTCAGAGAGTACCTGAAATCACGAAATATTTGGTTGATAGCTTAGAAACGAAAGATATTTAAACCTCACTGCTTTTTTTCTTGATTTATAATTGGAATTATCAATAGATAAATTGCACGTGATCTCATACCGTTTTGAATTTATTTCAAGCGGTAGATCAATGTCGGTAAATACTGTGGTCGTACGCTACATTCATTGTTTTATACTTTAACTCTGCAACATGAATAATCCGGTCCGTATTTTTGTACTTCACCGTCCTCAATGTTTTCTACTTCACCGTTTTCAGATATTCGTGCAGCATTAGGTTTGTAAAGAATACTGAGTAGGTCAACACCTTGTTTATGTGACATTGAACTTAATTAAGAAGGTAGTATCATATATTTTGGCAACCAAAGAACTTTTTGTTTCGAGCTTCATTTACCATGAGTCTATTCTGGCATACAACTTATTTAGATAATTGATTTACTTTGCTTGGCCTTGTGCTCTTGGAGAACCTTAGTCGTAGAGTATCAAAATAAGCTGAACTAAATTGTATCATGATTCCCGACATTTTAGGAGCGGTCTAACTAATCCTTGGTGCTGAATAAATTTGTCTTCTCAGAGACAAAAGCCGTGAGTATTTCCAATGCTTCCGTTTACACTAGTTAAGCGACATTGTGCTACAAAATCAATTTGGCACGAGGTAGGAGTCAAGTGCTCCAAAGCGACGACCAATCAATTGGTTGCACACACGGTAGCCGCCTCTCATTAAAGGCTAAACTCGCATGATAATTAGGATAAGTGGGGGAAAATACTGTAATTGATGCCACGCCTAATCAGTATACTAAATGATCTGAATGAACGGTCTTTAAAGTGGGCGCGTGGCCAAAAAAACACCATTCAGTTGGTTGGACGATTTCGTGGCAGTCAAGCAGTTTATGCGTGGGCTGGGCGAAGGGTTATTGAAGAAAAGGCACTGATTCAGTTTGATGTTGCGATTTATTGGGAAGTAGGAAAACAAATTACTATTTGGTTTGATAATAAAGTATAGTTGGCTTTCGATTTCTACGCTGATGCGGAAAACTTTAGAATTACCCCTTTCTTAAAAGTTTTCTATTTGTACCGTTTGAAGAACAGTTTTATAGATCTTATCAGGAAAATTTTTTATTCCACTCAAAAGATCATTTGATGATGAAAAGTTTTAGAAAAAGTGGTTAAAGTAGTAATTAAATTATTTCTATGCAAATAATTTGTAATCAAAATTCTTCAACATAAATTCCAATTTTGCAAGAGTCACCGTCGAAGTGAATATTTTTTTCGATCATTTCTTGATTAGAAGTTTTTAGTTCGAAAATGCGCAAAAAATGTATTTGTGATTGAATAGTACTATAAAATTGTGACAACACTGGATGAAAAGATGTTGTAATTATATTATTAATATGGCGGCCCTTGGCTGTCAGATGAGCATCGTGTAATCCTTCTCGATGTTTCTCACTGTTCAGAATCATGGCACCGGAAGTGCGTTGATGATTATGTAAACCGGAATACTGTCATAACATATAAATCTTGCACTATGTATTACAGCAAAAATATATATTTACGGAGAGGACAAAGCTTGATAATAGTT